AGTATGAAATTCATAAATATAAAATTTTTTGTAATGAAGATTTTATAAAATCTTTTTATATTTTCCACGGGTATTTGAATGTGTTGCCTGAACTTGCACAGATTTTTCCGGAAGACAAAGAAATGCAAAAAATATTTGAAAAAAAATACATTACTAATTTAAAAAGTTGTAAGTGTTCTACTTTTGAGTATGTTTTTTTACTTATGTGGAATAATACTTTGGCTTATGTTAAGTCTTCTAATTAAATTGTTTTTATTTGGCTTGTATCTTTTATAAAAATATTTTTTATCACAAACTTAACAATTAGAATCGAAATAATATGAACAACTAGAATTTATTGACAATAAACTAAAGATTAGAAAAAATAATTAAGGTTTTTAATTGTAAAAACAATTATCAAAATATTAATTATATTAGAAGTTAAACTAGATTTATATACTCTAGATTAAGTCAAAAAGGAGATATTAATAGTGAAGTGTGAATAATCTCGTTTGCAACTTTGCAAATGGTTGAAACATATAAGAAGCACAAGCACGATCTACCAGCAAATCATTGTGGATCATTCCACAAATTTAGTATGCATATTATTCCTTATATGATGATATGAGACGAGTATGTAACAAAACATTATTAAATTAATTGAAAAATTCAAACATAGACCACCGAACTCAGTCCTATATACGATACAAAGTTCTTAAATTGACTATAGAAAGCCTTACAATGGATAATCAAAAAGGTCTCACCAATGTAGAAGAGAATTTTAGAGAAAATAAAGTAGTAGAAGTAGTTAACTCAAAAAGTACAAGCATGGCACAGCCTAAATGAAAAAATCGAGAATTCCTAACAAATATTTATACCAAAATAATTTTATTGTAATATTTGAAGTTTTAAAGATATTTGTCATTATTATTTTTGTTATTTATTTATTAAAATGTAAAAAATGTAGATTGGTAAAATATTTTTATTGTAATTATAAAGATCAAATATGATATTTGTTTAACTTGTTTTTTATTTATTAAAAAAATTTTAAGTTTTCTTAACCCTAAATGCAGAATCAAATACCAAAAAAATTGTATATTCTTGTACCAGACAAACCTAGTCAGATACAATTGGAAAGTGCAAATGCTTCAAGCATGATATCTTCTGTTATTAAAACCTGTCTTGGTCCAAAAGCAATGCAAAAGATGGTTATTACGAAAATTAATAGCATAGAGATAACGAATGATGGTAACAGTATTCTTAGAGAAATTGACGTTTCTCATCCTTCTGCGAGGTCGATTATCGAACTTGCTCGCACTCAGGATGATGAGGTTGGTGATGGAACTACTTCTGTAGTTATTTTAGCTAGTGGACTTTTACAAGAGATGTCAAATGTTTTAAATACAGAAATTAAAGATATAGGCAAGTATCCTCACCCAATAAAAGTTTGTGGTTATCTCACTGATATCCTTAAGCTTTCAATGGATGTTCTGAATCAATTGTCTCTTAACATACAAGACACAGAGGAGAGTATTAAAGCAATTATTAGGTCAAGTATTGAAACCAAAATTTGCACCATTTTAAAGGTTCCTATAGATACAATAGCCTATGAGGTTGTTAAAATGATTACGGAAAATGGTGTTTGTGATCTTAAAAATAATGTAAAAATTGAAAAGATTTTGGGTGGTAATATGGTGCAAAGCGGTATTTTAGATGGTATAATAATTAACAAAGATATTATTCATCCACAGATGAGAAAAAAAATAGAAAATCCGAGAATTGTTATTTTAGACACTCCTTTAGAATATAAAAAAGGTGAAAGTCAAACAAATTACGAATTTAAAAACAAGGACGATTTTACTAAAGCCTTAGAAATGGAAGAAAAACAAATACGTACGATGTGTCAATATATACTTAATGTTAATCCTGACATTGTAGTTTCAGAAAAAGGAATTTGCGACTTGGCTTTATCGATTTTGTATCAAAATAATATTACTGCTTTGAGAAGATTAAAAAAGACAGAGACAGTTAGGTTAGCAAAAGCTGTAGGTGCCACTATTGTTAATAGGGTTGAAGATTTAGATACTAAACATGTTGGAGATAAATGTAGATTATTTGAATATATTAAATCCGGCGACGAATATTACTCCCAGTTCAGTAAATGTATTGAACCTAAAGCATGTAGTGTGATTATAAGAGGACCAACAAAGGATATTTTAAATGAACTAGAAAGGAATTTTTACGATGCTGCAAAAGTTGCTAAAAATTTAATTATTAGTCCAAAACTTGTTCCGGGTGGAGGATGTTTAGAAGCCAACATTATAAAAAAGTTGAAAGAATATAAAACAGAAGATGTATTGGAAAAAATAGTTTACAACAAAGTTGCTGATGCTTTAAAAGTTATACCAACAATTTTACTAATTAATAGCGGTGTCTATAATCCTTTGATGAAAATTGAATTTTTAGAAGAAGAAATAAGTAAAAATAAATTTAGTGGCGTAAATGGTATAACTGGGGATATTGAAGATATGAGAAATATAATTCTTGAACCGTTTGCTGTCAAAAAACAAATTTATGCTTCTGCAATGCAGGCTGTTATCCAACTGTTACGTGTTGACGGTATTATGGAAAGCAAGCGATAAATTAAATTATTCATTTTTTTACATTTTAAATTGTTTTGAACTGAAACTCAAATTATAAATAATAATTAAAAATTATTTTATGAATCAACATCCATATTTTAATCATAATAATATTCCTTACCCTATGCCACAGCAATATCAACCACCAATACTAAGATCAACGGACAGGCTACTTCCAGTTGCTAACATTGGAAAAATTATGAAGCGTCCAATACCAAAAGAAGCCAAGGTTGCAAAAGAGGCTAAAGAGCTTATGCAAAAATCAGCCAGTGAATTTATCGCCATAGTTACATGCAGAGCTAGAGAAATTTGTGAAGGAGAATCAAGAAAAACTGTAACTGGTGATGATCTTATTAGAGCTATGGAAGATTTAGATATGGGTGTTTATGCTGAACTTGGTCGTAAATATTTTTTACAATACAAAGATTTTGTACAAGCAGATAGAAAACAAAAACCGTTGAAAACCTCTTTTGATTTTATGGAGTTTCATTAATTAAAAATTTTGAGTATTAGTTTTAAAAAAATACTTGCGATTTAAATTGTAATGTGTCTTACAAATACTTTGTATTATCGTCAAAATAAACGTAGTTTTGTTATAGATCAATGAAACTTACAATAACATGTAATTAATTTGGTTTAATTTTAAAACTTTATATAACTGTCAAAAACATATTTTACTTTTTGTAACAATCTATAAGTCAAATTTATTACCATTAAAAAGGCAAAAATTTTATTAAAAATTTATTTATAAATATAATATATGAATAATTAAAGTACAATATATTAATTAAACAAAGAAGTATTAAAAATGTAGATAAAGCATCTAACTTTTATGTATGATATTAATTTGTATTTAAACTTTTCGATTCGTATTTTGTACCTTCAAAAAATATTTGTATTTAATAAATGATTGGTCGATTAAAAATAAATCTTCTGCATAATTGAGATTAACATTTAAATTGCCCTTTAATGCTTATTATCTTAAATTTTATTAATATTAATGCTATCTTTATAAACAGCAAAGTCAATATATAAGCCTTAAAATTTTTGCTAATTTATAAATATTATTTTTTATATCAAAAGTTTCTTTCAAACAACAAACTTTTTATTTTTATGCAAAAAAGCTATAAATAATATTCAATCCGCATAAATATGACTGAATGTATTATTCTTACCTCAATTTTAAAATATAACAAGAACTACATTGATAATATTTTAAAAAATAGTCTATTTGACAATGTTTTATGCAGATATATTTCTTTAGAGATAATTATAAATTATTTTTATCTCTGTGATTACAATCCACAACTTATAAATTTCTTGATAAAAGATTTAAATTTTAATGATTTAATTATAGATTATATAGAACTATACATCGAAAATTATTTGTCTAAACTTAATTATGAGAATATTGGGATCATCAAAAAAAGATCTTTATACCAAATAACCTTAAATCATATATGTCCAGTCAGCTTATTTAGAAAAAATATGAAAGATCTTTACCAATTTAGTAAGAATTTGAATATTGTTTCTCGTAAAGATTTAGAAAATACACTTGTATCTTTAAATATTGATAGCAGTGGTCTTCAAAATTTAAAATACAGACAAGTAACAGTAAATAATACTAATCTAATAAGTTTATGTGGTAGGGTGTACAAGATAAAAGAAGAACATTGTTTAAAATCTTGTTTTATGGTTTGCAAAAACAAATTGTGCATAGATAAAACTTATGTTTTAATGCTGTTTGATGTAAATTATTTAATTACAGAATCTAAAAAAACTTTTACACATGTTGTAAGTGATAGACAAAAGACATGTCTAAATTGTAAAGGATATCTTGAAGAAAATATAGAATATAGAACTTATATGATTGAATATAAATACATTTTAAGTGCCTCGAATTTTTATGTTTACATAAAAACGAAGCTTAGTTTGAATGAAAATGGATGCTATTTTGGAACCTTTGAAAGGAATAATAATGGTAAATTATTATTTAATGTAACTAAAGAATATGTTATTCAAACAGATTGCATTCATTATATGATGACTGATGTTTGTAAAATTAATATCGAACTACAATTACTTTCAATAACAAGTGCAATTTTTAAAAGAATTAAAGCAAATTGTGATCTACAAGATACAATTCTTTTTATTATATTAAATATTCTAAGTATCCATAATACTAGAATATTGATATTTACAAGCGATCCACAATACGTAAAAAATTTTGCAGTTCATCTTATGAAAATTAAAAATTTACAGAAGAACATATATTACGATATGAAATCATTTAAAGATAAAAATGGGCTATGTATCAGAGATTATAATGATACTAAAATTTTTAAGATTGATTTAATTTTTCATATGCCTATAAGTAATTTAGTAGATTATTCATACAGTTCCTGCACAGATGATTTTTCAGTAATTTCTAAATCCAAAAATTTGACAGAAGATGATCATAGAAACATACAAGAACTTTTTATAAAATTTAGAAAAGAATTTAAGAGAATTATTGAACCTGAAAGATTGTTAAATATGCTTGCACATGTATATAGTTCTATACATGAATATCAAGATGATGCATCTCAGATAAATGATTTTATTCTAAAACACTTTGTTGATAAGTTGTTATAAATATTAACATATTGTAAATTATTTATAAAATTTATTTAATTAAATTTATACAAGCCGAAAAACTTTTATATTATAGACTATGTTCATTTTGTAAATTATTATTGTCGTACATTCATATATTTATCTTAATTTTAACCTCAAGTTTGATCATGTCAGGATTAAATAAAATAAACAATATTAACGTCAATTATATTATTCTTGGTATTGAAACAATATTAGATAAAAACATAAATCTACTAATGTGTCATAAAAAATCCTAGTCTTATTTAAATTTTTTAAAACTTTTATATATAACTTCTAATACATAATATTATTTATTTAAAGTGCTTTTTAATAATTTTATTTTTTTCTTTATTCCTCCCCTAGTAGTTTTTCTTTTCATTTCTTTAGATTTGACTTGTATTTTAGGCTTATTAATATTCATTTGTATTTGACTATAGTAGTCTATTACTTTATCACTATTAAATATATCTAGCTTAATAGCAAGTATTAATTTATTTATTAAACTTTTAATAATTTTATCTTTATGTTCATGATATTGTAATACTAAAGGATGATATTCTAATAGATTAACATTGGTGTTGATACGTGTAAAATTATATGTATTTATAGATTCTTCGATAAATTCTACTTCATCTAAGTATTCTACAATATTTACATCTAAATTCGTAGAATCCTCTTTTTTACAATTTTTTACTATGTTTCCTAAATAAAACATCTGTTTGATTTCATTTGATGTTTTCAACAACAGCTGATCTTCAGGAACAAGAAAAAGAAAGAATATTAGAGAAGATTTTAGTAATAAAAAAGTATTCCTATATCTACTCTTTAATTCAATATATATGTCTGTAAATAATTTGTTTAGATGATTTTTATTTACACAGCCATATTCTAAGTATTTTTTAAAAAGTAATTTATAGTTTATTATTTTTTGCTGTAAAGAAAACATTTAAGGACTAAAAAGTTGACAATATATTTTTACAATGCATAGTAAACATTGCCACATTTAAAGATAAAATTGACTTTGCTGTTTTAAAATATAAATGATTAATAAGATTAGTAGGAGGCAGAATGTGTAATACTAAAAATAATTATTTTTTACATTTATCAAAATATATTGTTGGGATAAAACATGGGATTATTTATTAATTATTATTTATATAACAGACACGTCAAAGCCATCAACCCAATACTGCTAATTGACATGTCTACATCTTTACTGTCCTACATATATAATTAGTTATTAATTTCCGACTTCCATAAAAGTTATAATAAATTATAAATATTTTGGGAACTGCACGTGTAGTGTAGTGGTTATCACGCGTTCTTCACACGGACGAGGTCCCGAGTTCGATCCTCGGCATGTGCATTTTTCTAACCTCGATAAAAAATTAATAAAAGTAATTTTTAATTGATATTATTTTGAATAATTTTTAGCAAGCTCGCCCCTTCCTTGATAATTTCTGAATATCCATCGTATTCCTCTTCATTAATTATAATTGTATAAGATACTTTATCAATTTTACAATTAATTCTTCTTTCTACAATAAAATCATTTAAATCATCCTCAAGATATTCACTACTTATCCCAAATACATCAGCCATATTCTTTAAATCTAAAGATTGATAACTGTTAAGTAATTGCTTATACATTTTTATTTTCATTTCCCTACAAAAAAAATTTAGAAAGTTTTGTAAATAGAAATCATTTTTAACACTTTCTATATATTTACATAGATTAGGTAAATATTCATAATAATTACATTCATACATAGATCTTATTAAGTTTACTCCTTCAGAACTTCCTATTTCTAAGACTTCAGAACATTCTAATAGTAATTTTTTTAGATCAGATCTTTCAAAAGATAATAAACCTGAAAATATAAAATATTCTACTGCATGTTTAAAATCAACCGCTTCGTTAGTTTCAAATGAAGGAAGGGTCTCACTAAATAATTGTGCTGTCTCACTAAAAATACCTTGTTTAAGATTATAAATAGCTTTATGTATCTTAAATTTATTTCTTCTGTCCCAGTCACATCCCAATTCACAACATTCAGTAGCAAGATGAATATTATCTTCTACAAGTTTTTTATCTTTAATTAACATTCCCATTCGTATTCTACATAAATAAATATCCATCTGTAAACTGAGCGAAGATTCGTCGAACAAAATATTTTTTAACATTTCCAGTGCTTTTTCTGTATCCATAAACTGTGCATATAGTTCTGCAATCTGAATATCGATAGATTTAACATATGAAGAGTTTTCAGGATCCTTGTCTTTCATTTCCATCAATTCATCAATTTTTTTTTGTTTTGTTTCTTTAATTAATTTTATGTCTTGTTTATTATCCTGTATAATATTTTTAATGACCAAAGACTGGTATGTTTTCAGCATAGAATTGTTTATTAAATATTTTCTTAGAGCTTCTTTACCATTTGAAGTGTTAGACTCATGGATTAATATTTGGAGATCTAAGGTTGGAAATTTAAAGTTAAAATCCATTTAAAGGGGTAATTTTTTACAAATTTATAATATTTTAAAAAATAACTTATTCAATTATACTTTCAAACAAAGAGAAATAGTAATTAGATTGTAATGATTTTTTTATAAGTAAACTTAAATCAAAAATTTTACAGATTTAAAAATTTGTATTTTAAAACAAAATTTAACGAAAAAATAAACAATCTTTTGGCAAAATTAAATTTATTAATAAAATTTACTATTGTATTGTAAATAAAAAAACAAAATTACTATCAATAGATAGTAATTTTATATAACCAATTTACTTTTAAAACTAAAATCTTGTATTTCTTTAACGTATTTGTAAAATTTTAAGACCGCAGGCATCTCTATATCCTTTATATCACCAAATGCGTGATGCCATACAATGTCTCCACTTCTGTTGAAAATAAAAACATCTTCTTTATTTGTAAATCCAGAAGTAGCGTACAATACTTCTTTAAGAGGCACACCACACTCAACAAGTCCTAAAAATAATGCATTTATGGCGCACCAGAGCGTATTGTAATTATTGCTATCTATTATCAGTGATATAAACAGTGATTTACACTTATCAAAATTAAGTAGACATCTGTTTAAAATGTTTGTAATGATAAGTGTATAATAAGCGTCATATGATTGTTGATTAATATTTCTATACTTAATATCTAAATTAAGTTGATCGTATAACTCACTTTTAGACTGCTCGTGTCTATTATTAATGTCAACTGTACAAATAACAGTAGTATTTGCACATTTAAACATTGAACTACCTTTAGAATTATTTATTATACCTATATCTGCCTCTATCTTGTGCATAAGGGGTAGAATATTGATAAAAATATTATCTATATTGCTTTGTAATAAAATCTGAAGTAAAAGAATGTATTTACTTGCCAACCTACTTAAGTAAATAAATAAAATTTTAAAATAATGTATTAAAAGTCATAATTTTAAAAATTATTAGGACAACCATTTTTTTTGGTATAATTCCAATTTATAACTAATTTTTTAATTACTTAGATAAAAAGCTTTGAATTTTTTGAATGATTTTATTTAATAGACCTGCAAAGTTCAATACAAAGCTATATTAAAATTTAATTATGTTCATTAATAAACACAATGTATTATATTTTTAATAAATTGATTCGTATTTGAATGCTTATCTTTACTTCGCTAAACAATTTATCTAAATTTTTGAAAAATTTTAACATCATAAATGATACAAAGAAGATACATGTTAGATATTTAATTTTTGAGTTAATAATTGTACTGTAAAACTTATTGTTTATGTAATAAAAGATTTATTTGTATTTAAAATTTTAGATAAAGTCAGCCATCAATTTTTTGATTCATGTTTAATCAGCTTATGCTTATCTTGTTATAAAAAAATCACAAGTTTGGCGTTTTTAGCGGAATCTTTAGAAAATTGAATGATGAAAGTAGAACAACATTTATATCATGTATAGAAAATTTATAAGTTTTTTTTGAAACAAAATAAATTAATTTTTGTTTAGTAAACAAAAATATGAAAAATTTATTTCTTAGCTTATCTTTATCTTTAGGATATGTAATAAGACTAGTACCATATTGCGATTCACAGAAAATTACAGGCGCACCTTTAGCACAATTTATCAATACAAATGTAAACAAAATTCACAATTCATTAGAGGGAAATTTTGCTTTTACTACAAATTTACAAAATTGTTTGCCGGCAACAAAACCTATCATAAGCCCAGTATTTATAAAACCTAAGAATTTTCAGGTTTTTGGAAGCTTAAAAACACCGCTAAATAAGACACCGCTGAATAAAACACCGCAAAATAAAACACAGTTAAATAAAACACAGCTGAATAAAACTCCGCAAAATAAAACTTTGCTAAATAAAACTCCGCAAAATAAAACTTTGCTAAATAAAACTCCGCAAAATAAAACACAGCTGGATAAAACTCCGCTAAATAAAACACCACCTAATGTGGTATATACAAGATCTTTATGGTATCAAAATTTAAATCCACCATTAGTTAAAGGAACTTATAAAGCATTAACGCCAAAGATCATGCCACAACAACATGTTAAAAAACCGGTAACTAAAAAATTTAAGGATAAAAATAAAACATCACAAATTTTAAAAAAAAGAAGCCAACCCAAAACGCAAAATATTGTTAAAAATGCTCAAATTAATCCTATATTAAATAGTATACCACAAACTACAGCCAAAATATTGCCGGTGCCGATTTTGATTCCTACACCTATATTCAGACAAAATAATTATGTTCCTGTTAATAACAATCAGAAAAGAAATGTTGTATTTAAAAATTATCCCAGTAAAGTTCCATTAAATAATGTTTTGAAACCTGTTACTAACATTACAACAGTAAAGAAAAAAGCGGCTTTAAGTACTAAAAAAGACAGTATTCCAACAGTGATGCCAGTAACGATAAGTAAATACATTCCACAAACAAATTATACAGCTAAAAAAGAAATGCCTTTTGCAGAGACAAAGATATTTCAGCCTATAATACCGATACAGTTACCAGAGACTATATACATTCCAATCCCAGAAACAAAGACAATTGATGTACAACAAAAGCCTAATTTTGTTCAAATTTTGCCACTAGACCTGACAAAGCCGACCACCAAAGAAAAACCTCAAACATTTCAGCAAATAATAAATTTAATACAGCCTCCACTAGTAAAACAAGATCAAGTTTATGCTTCTTCTATCACAGAAAGTGATCAATTAAGTGACTGTGAATTGCAAAACTACAGGCAGGACTCTTCGATCACAAATGAATCTAATAATTGCAATATTCAAAATAAAAAATTAGAACGTCCATTACAATCTGAACATAAAGAAAATACTCCGCAAACAACAATAACTACGACAATAATTTATCAAAATCCAATAAAACCGCAGGATGATTTAAAAAATTCGCAATATAAGGATTCTACATTTATACCGCTTCGTAATATATGTAACATGAATATTGATCCTTTACCAAATGAATGCAATACTTATAAAATACATTCGCTTATAATTGATTCGGACAAAATTAATTTACCAGCCAATGTAATCGACAATATATTAAAAAACAATGGCATAAGAGAAAATGACCTTGTAGAAAAGGGCAATAATGTTTCATTAAAAGATTTACAAAAGGTTAATAACCTTATTAATAATTTGTTTAACCAGCTTAACAATTCAAAGGGAGAGAAGATTTACTGTTCAAAATCTCATGAACTTCAAGATTATAAATGTACGACATCTAAATGCGAATCAAATGAATGTGACGAATCTATAAATATGCCAGATACACAGTATAAAAAGGGTAGGTTTAATTTATTTAATATTAATTTGCCTGTTATTTCAGATGAGGATTCATACATTAAAAGTACGATTACTATCGAAACTACTAAAAAATCAACCAAAGACATAAATAAAGAATCTAATAATATAAAGGAAACACTCGAACCTCAATATAAAAAACCAAAATATCCACCTTATATTGATTTTATTGTTCCTGAGGAATCCAGTGATCGGTATAATGAACACGATGTCATTAGAAAAGCTATATCTAATGAAGAAGACCAAAGCAATGAAAACTATAATTTTAACGAAAATAGAAAAGATTTTTCACCTTTAGAGATGATAAGTAATGATAGTTTGTACCCAGAATTATCACAATATACTAACATTATTAAAATTTCTGATTTTCTCAAGGGAAAATACAGCGATTCATGTTCAGATTTATTTAAAAACAAAATAGATAACATCAGTCAAGGGGACTTATCTCAATGTTCTATCTTATCTCCTACAGACTTCAATAGCGGTGATAGTGTCGTATATCTTAGTGAGTTGATATAGTTACATTTTCAACATTAAATTAATAAAATTTATTCAAATTTTTTCGTTTTCTTTTGAAAATATCATTTTTTTGTATCCCCATGTCTGAAAATCTAGATCCTGAAGAACTACAACACCTCCAATTTATTAAAAATAAGTTTCAAATTGTAGATAGAATTGGCGAGGGCACGTTTAGTAGAGTATATAAGGCTATAGAAATTAAAACCAATAAACAGGTAGCTATTAAAGCCATAACCAAGACAAGTTCACCAAATAGAATAGTAGACGAGTTAACTTTTTTAATAACTTTAAATGGATTAAATAATTGTATTTTATTAAAAAATGTTTTACGACACGAAGATCAAGTGGTGGCAATATTTCCGTATTTCGAATATACAGAGTTTAGAGACTTCTTGAGTTCTGCTACAATGTACGATATAAAAAAATATATGTATAATTTATTGATAGCTATAGAGCATGTTCACTCGTGTAAAATCATCCATAGAGACATTAAACCTGGGAATTTTCTTTATAATCGCAATTTAGAAACTGGTTTGCTAATTGATTTTGGTTTGGCACAATTCGAACAAAACTATGATTGCATAAAAACTGAAAACGAAAAAAATAAATCAAAACCGGTTATATTTTTTAACACTGTGATATCAAGATCTAAACCGCCAGGTTATTACGAAAGAGACACAAGGCCTGTCATTAAAGCGCCAAGAGCAGGCACACGAGGGTTTAGGGCACCCGAAGTAATATTTAAGTATCCTTATCAAACTAGTGCAATTGATATTTGGTCTGCGGGTGTTATTTTTCTTAATCTGTTATCTGCGCAGTATCCTTTCTTTTTCTCTGGAGATGACGTTGATGCTCTTGTCGAAATTGCAACAATATTCGGACATAAAGAAATGAGAAAAGCAGCTAAACAGTACAACAGAGTATGGAAATCTAATATAGACACCATTCCCGAGGATAGAATACCATTTGAAAAGATTATAGAAGGGCTCAATTGTTATAATATTCCTGAAAGTGATGCATACGATCTTTTGTATAAAATGCTAGATCTTAATGGAGAGACGAGAATTACAGCCAAGGAAGCCATTAATCATAGATTCTTTGATTCAATAAAAATATAAATAAATAAGGAAAATATATTTCTTACAAAATATTTATTCATAACGATTAAGTAATTATGTTTGTTTGACTTAATGTAAAAATTATTAAATTGTTTATTTAAGAGCTTGTTTTGTTGTTCTTTCTTTATACTAATGCCAGTCTTAATAAAGCAATAGTTTTTAATAAAAAGTTGTATTCGTAATTATACGTAGTCAAAGGTTTTAGACTTTATAATATTAAAAAAAACATTCTTCTAACAATAGAAAGTTTTTAAAAGTTACGACAAATGTTTATTAACAAGTCCCATAATTTATAACCCTAAAATGTTAAGCGTAGAAATATCTCCAGAACAGAAATTTTTAATCTATAAACAAAAAGAAAGAGAGTATAAATTACTTTCTATTAGAGAAGAATATGTAAGAAAAGAAATCGAAATTTTGAAAAGGGAAGAAAGACATGCCAAGGAAGAGATAAATAGGGTTAAAAGCGTACCTTTTATTATGGGTCAATTTTTAGAACCTATTGATAGTAATACTGCTATTGTAGGAAGTACTGCGGGGAGTAACTACGTAGTAAAAATACTATCTACAGTTGATCGTGAACTTCTTAAGCCCAATACAACAGTTGCATTACATAGACATTCTAGTGCTATCGTAGATGTTCTTCCTCCAGAAGCGGACAGTTGTATTCCAGTTATGGGGGAAAATGAGAAGCCTGATGTGACATATAGTGATGTTGGTGGACTTGATGTCCAGAAACAAGAAATACGAGAAACTGTCGAGTTACCTCTTCTTCATAACCAGTTATACAAACAAATAGGAATTGAGCCACCTCGAGGGGTACTCTTATATGGTCCGCCTGGTACTGGTAAAACAATGTTAGTAAAAGCAGTTGCAAACCACACAAAAGCCACTTTTATTTCAATAAATGGATCCGAATTTGTGCAAAAATATTTAGGAGAGGGACCAAGAATGGTAAGAGACGTTTTTCGACTTGCAAGAGAGCGTGAACCTAGCATTATGTTTATAGATGAAGCTGATTCTATTGCTACTAAAAGATTTGATGCATCTACATCGGCAGATAGGGAAGTTCAACGAGTTTTACTTGAATTGTTAAACCAAATGGATGGTTTTGATCAAAATTGTAATGTAAGAGTAATTATGGCAACTAACAGAGCTGATACTATTGATCCTGCTTTATTAAGACCTGGAAGATTAGATAGAAAAATTGAATTTCCTCTTCCGGATAGAAGACAAAAAAGACTTGTTTTTTCTACTATTACTGGTAAAATGAGCTTATCGAACGATGTTGATTTAGAATCATTAGTTAATAGACCAGATAGGATAAGTTGTGCCGATATAAATTCCATATGCCAAGAAGCCGGAACCCTTGCTGTAAGATCAAGTAGATATGTAGTAAATCATAAGGATTTCGAAGAAGCATATGCTAAGGTTGTAGAGAGGCATGACACTCAGCCAGATTTTTACTATTAAATTTCGGTTTATTAAAAAAAATGATACATTTATTTTTTATTTTTCAATCCTTGAATTTTTTTTAGTCTAAAAAACTCTTCTCTATCTTGTTCATCTAACTCTGAATTAATATAACTCATTGTATTTTGTAATTTTGGGATAACACTAAACTCCAACGCATTAACTCTTCTGTTTGTAGACATTAATACATGCTCTAATATTTTAAAACTGTTACTTAGCGCAGACAGTTCAATTAAAAGCTCAACGACATTCAAAAAATTATTTCTACATTCATTTAGTACTTGTCCGCTTCTATCAAGCCATAAAATATTACTTATATTGGATTTATCAAGTTTAAAATTGATCAGTGTAACACCAGATATAACTTCTACAGATGTTTTTACATACAAAGGCTGTTTCTGACATTCTTGAATATAGGATTGTACATTTGCGCCCAGATATTCGGCTTCTGAAAGTTTAAAAAATGCATCTTTAAGCATTTGATTAATATCTTTTTTCTTTTCAAATAAATCTTTTTGTATATTTTTAAATTTCTGTTTAAGTGAATCGCTTTTACGTTTTAATAGTATTCTACCTTTCTCAGCACTTTTTTCTTTGTTATCAATAATTTTCAAATTCATTCGTGTGGGAAAAACAGGTAATCTTTGATCTGCCATAAGGGGTAAAAAATATAAACCCATGAAAAAATACAAATGTGAAATATGCAATAAATATTTATCTATTAACACTTACAAATCAAGAAAAATGCATATAAATGGATCTAAACATAAGCTTCTTAAAGAGACATATTTTATGGAATTAATGGAGCGTAATGACATTAAAAATAATATAAAATCACACAAAGCACGATTAGGAAAAAATTATGAATTTTTTTTAGGTAAACAGAATTATGGATTTAGACTACCGCCATGTACATTTAACAAAGACTTTACTATTCCGCCTTGTCCTAAGAATTTTCGACTTCCTAAATTTTTCGATTTTACCGACGCAGCTAATTTCTGCTCAGATATTAACAAAAATTTGCAAAACATATTAGAAAAAAACTTCGATTAAAATTTTTATAAAAATAGATTATTCTAAAGCAATTTTGAAAAATTGGTGTAAAGTTACTATTTATTAAATTTTTGGATATTTACTTTGCAAAAAAATTTAGTAGTATCATTTTTAGTTTTTAAAATAACTTGAGATATCAAATCTATGCATAAATAAATGTAGTTAGCACATTTTGTTCACAAGACTTCAAAACCAACCAAATATTATATGTTTTATTTTATAAAGGTTTACATTTTACATTTAAAAATTTTTTACTATAAAACTTTGTACTTCAATATTGTGACTATTAGTTCTCTTAAGCACAAATTTTCGTGGCATCTTCTAAAATATATTTATAAGCCAGTTAAACTTTTTAAATGTTTATCTTTTGTACTAATAATAAGTGTTCTTTACAACTTACGATTTTTTTAAAATATTTTTTAACCGTTAAAATGGCATTTCAATTAGATAACAGAATATCTTCTTTAATAAAATATAGTAATCACGTTAATCATAGATGTTTTTTTGTATTAATCGGAGAAAATACTAAAAATTTTATACCGACAATATATAACTTGTTATCAACAAATTCAACAAAGTCTGTTGAATCTATTATATGGTGTCACAAAAATGATGCAATAGTCAAGGAAGTTAAACAATCACAAAACGAAGAAGATGAAAATAAACTAAAAGACTTTTTTAAATCACAAGATATACAATTTATAAGTTACAATGAAGGAGATAAGATATTGGGACAAACAGTTGATTTATTAATATTACAGGATTTTGAATCTTTAACTCCAAATTTAATAGCTTTAAGTGTAGAAACCGTAAGAGGGGGTGGTATTATTGTGCTTTTACTTGATAATGTCGCTTCTATTGACCTTATGATAAATACAAAATCTTCTTTTTTATTAGAAGACGATTTTGTTCCTCGATACAATAAGCGTCTTTTTAGATCATTAATTAATACTAGCTTTACGATCTTTCTTAATAACACATTTCAAGTTATGCCTATAACTAGATTTAACTTAGAAAGTATTAACTTTACCAAAAAAGTGATTTCAAAAGTTGAAGAAGATGTAAATGTACTACTAGACACCAATGAAATCTTAATAAATATGGCCAAAACAATGGATCAGACTGAAGTTTTGAAAGAGTTTATGAATGCTGTCAAGGATAGAACCGAAAGAACAATTTTTTCTCTACAAGCTGGGCGTGGTAGAGGTAAATCTGTAGCACTGGGACTTGCAATTGCAAAAGCTGTGGAACTAAAGTATTCTTCTATTTATATATCATCTCCTGCCTTAGAAAATATTAAAATGTTATTTACTTTTTTAATTAAAGGGTTGGAGGCGTTAGGATATAAGAAGTATGAAGACTTTAAGATTGTTTATTCATTTAAATCGAAAAAGCGTCTAGTTCAGAGAATTGAAGTTTTAAGAAATATGAAACAAACGATCGAATATTTCAATCCTTTTGATGAGTTGAAATATCATCCTGATATGTTTGTTATTGACGAAGCCGCTGCGATTCCATTGCCTCTACTGAAAAAATTACTATTTCCTAATTTAATTTTTATGGCGACTACTAGTAGTGGCTATGAAGGGACGGGCAGAGCTTTTTCGACTAAAATGAGCGAATACTTACACGAACAGTCTAATTCGGATAATCCTTTTTCTTACAAAGAACTTTTTATGAATGCAAGTATACGTTATGGAAATAACGATCCTGTTGAAAAATGGCTTAACAATACATTATTATTAAATATTGACATTAAGAAAATTAATAAATGCCCTGTACCTTCTAGTTGTGGTCTATACTATGTAGATAAGGATGTTTTGTTTAGTGGAAATTCTCATAGTGAAAAAATTTTAAACGACATTTTTAGTATTTTTATTGCATCTCACTACAAAAACAGTCCTAATGATATTCAAATATTAGCGGATTCTCCCAGTCATGAGATATTTACACTAGTTACACCATCAAATGAAAAAGATGAATCTTTGCCGAGGATTTTGTGCGCCATTCATGTTTCTTTTGAGGGCCGTTGCGAGAAAGGCTTACTAAAAAAAGGAAATTTGATTCCGTGGATTGTTTCGGAAGCAAATTTTGACATAGAATTTATAAAATATTTAGGTATGCGAGTTGTAAGGATAGCTGTTCATCCTGACTATATGTCAATGGGGTATGGTTCTCGTGCTTTAGATTTGCTTGTTAATTGGATGAAAGAAAACCAGCATTCTTTATTAACTCGTTTGAGGAAACCCTTGAACGAAAATAATATTTTATTTTATGAGTCAAGTGATATATTATTACCTAAAATTTCTTGGATCGGAACTTCTTTTGGTGTTACAAGCCGATTAATGAATTTTTGGAAAAAACATGATCTTATACCGATTTGTATTAAACAAACAGTTAGTTATATTACAGGAGAAAACACAATTATACTTATGAAATCATTGGATTTACGGCTTGAACTAACTTTTAAAAAATATTACAAAAATTTTAAAACTAGATTCATTGGACAAATGGCTTATAGCTTCAAACATTTTAATTCTTCTCTATGTATTTTATTATTATTTAACAGGATGTACAAAGAAGTTGAAGAAACAATATTGTTTTCTAATGAAGATAAAGATAGAATACAAAGATATTGTAGTGGAACTGCCGACCTATTACAAATTATTGATTTATTACCTTTAATTGCAAGGAAATATTTTAATGAACAGTTAGAATCATCTCTTAGTATTTTACAACAAAGTGTATTATTAATGATCGGGTGTCAACATAAATCTATAGATGATGTATGTAATATTTTTAAGTTAAAGATTTATGAGGTTAATACAATTTTGATGAAAATATTGAATATTTTAAAAGATGACTTAATTAAAAAACAATTTTATTTTTGTTTGTTTATGAAAAAAAGATTAACTTTTATAAACCCACATTTATTCTACTTTATACAAAATTTAGATTTAACTTTTTAAAATTAATTGTTTGTTTGTTTTTTAATTTATTTTTATATATAAAAAAGAAAATTTCTATCCTTAATGGAATTAATAGCAACTTTTGCATTTACTTTACTATCCTTCGGTTTATGTAGCATTGAGGATGCTTTAAAAGGATCTTGTTTTGATAACAGATCTAGATTACATTGTAATGATCCGTTCAATTTTAAGCCTAGATGCCATTTTGAATTAAGAAGACCTTGTATTGAAACTACGTGTATATTTGATATTGTTGCAGCAGACAATGTAAAGCCATGCGAGGCTATTAGAATACAGTGTATACCATTTAAAGTACCTAGTACCTGTAAAGTAGTACGAAAATATGTTGAAAAAACTCTTGATTACATCAGATGTAAATTGAACAAATGTGATTACCAAAAAATTAAATGCGATGCTGAAATGATTTTAAGAATTATCGACTGTAATCTAAATGGATGTCCTAAGGAATATGCGTTATTTACCGCATCTGCTTTACACAACACTTCATTTTTCAAGTATTTTGCTTCACACTGTGACAAATCTAAATACATGCCAAGAGGACTTTTAATGATTAATAATATAGCTAATTACAAAAAATTGGATGCAGTAAGTAAATATAAAAGAAACTATGTGAGATACCCAACACGTCTCGCGTGCAAATTAAAAGAAGATATTATTAATACAATTAGGTTTTGGAAATCGATTATGTGCAGAAGACCTATGACTTTTGCAGGTATGATGGATGCTTTAAATACTGTTAGCTGGGGAACTTACAAACATTCTGATGGAACTTGTATGCCAGCAGATTTAAAAAATCGAAAAGAAATTTATGAGGATTTACTCAGACGATATAAAAAATAAATATTGTGTATTGAATTTGTGTATTTATATACTAAAATGAATTGAATTATTAATTACTTGTTTATTTTTTATTTACCTTTTTTAAAACATTCAACAAACACAACATTTGCTAAATTGTTTAAATTTTAATATAAATTCTAAATTTTCAAAATCCATTTAATATTTTATCTGTTCTGTTTAAACTCATAAACTTAATAAAAAGTTCTTTATTGTTTCACAGAGCTAAATCCTATGTTTTTAGCATTTTGCAATATTAGATTGTCAAATAATTACCTGTAGGTGTAAAATGTTTTAAAAAATAAAAGAATCTTAAAGTAAATCACTATGCATTGTGTGGTTACAAAAGCACAATTTTATTCAAATTTAAAAAGAATTAAATATCGCTTTATTTATACAAAGAGTGCTTTATGGCATTAAAATAGTGTAGAATAAACAAATAAAAAACTTTAGTATTTAATACATAATATTGTGGTGCATATAGTTTTAAAATAGTTGAATAATTTTTTACTTTAAAATATGTTTAAAATCATAAATTTAATTTAAATTTACAAACAAAAAAATAAAATATTATAGTTTTTACTTTGCGTAAATTGCTTATTACAATATTTTTATACTTTTTATTTAGTTTTTGTTTGTTTAATCATACTAGAAGCTAAATTAAAAAATATAAAAACAAAAAAATAAAATACACCATGAAATTTAAAATCATTATGACACTACTTGCATTTTACAATTGTACGAAATTGAAAAGAAACACAAACAAGTGTTCTAATGAAAGATCTGATGAAGGAAGCTATTCTTCTAATGAAAACAACCCTCTTGAAGAATCAACTTATTGTTACTGTCACCAACAAGACGACCTTATATCTACTTGTTCGAACAAAAGTGATTTTTCAAACAAGGAAACCAATTTACATTCAAAAGCTTATCCAGCGTATATCTCTAATATTGAAAATATGTATGATTTATATTCCTATAATACAAATACTTGTTCATTAAGTGATAATCACGAATATTCATCTAAGCAACCTTTAGAAATTTATATTATTACAATGCCTTTAGGACAGAAAGACAATTTAAGCTTTTACATGAAAAATGTTCTTAATACATTAGAATACTTTGATTCAGATATAAAAGAGAATGATAAAGCTTATGAAATTTTGGAATATATTTACGAATCATTAAAAGATAAACCTAGACAAATGGCAATTTTTATTGCTTGTAGTTTTTTTAACACTGAATTCTTTTCAAAATTCATTAATGAATCAGATTCAAGATATTGTGCCAGAGGACTTATGATGTTAGAAGGAAAAAAAGAATATTCAGCGCTTACGAAAATTTCTGGTGTTAACTTTTTGGAGTCTCCAGAGTTTTTAGAAGAGATTAGTAGATGTTCTGTTTACAATACTATTAAAGTGTGGACGAGATTTATGTTTGATGCAACAATGTCCTTAAAAGAAATTTATCATGCCTTTGTTATAGACAAATGCGATAATAGCGACATTGTACCTGGTTATAAACATTTTAAAAGTCTTGTAAACAAATTAATGGGAATTATAAATAATGAATAAACTGTTTATATTTTATCAATAAATTATGCAAATATTAAAAAATTAATATAGCTTAAAAATAATTTTTTTTCAGCTAAAAAAACATAATTATTTATTAAAATGAACACATTATCGACATTTAATAAAATTAATTAGAACCATTTTTACATAATTTATACCTACACAATAAATAAAAACATCTTTTTAATTAATTTTTATATTAAAAATTTTCAAATTATAACAAAAACAAAATAAAACAATCAACTCAATATAAAGTATAAACCCGCTTATAAATATTTCTCAACCCTTTTAATCTTATTAATGTTTAAGCTAATAATAAAGCAAAAAAATACAGTATTTTGCTACTTTTTTACATCATCCTTCTAAACACCTCAAGTCTGCAGTTTTTAAATTTGTATCTGTTTTTACTTTTTTTTGTTATATGTGCTTTACAGGAACATTTCTTTTTATTAAATAATCTAACTAAAGAACATGTATTAATTGAAGAAATCAGAGTATTTTGTTCCACAGGTTGCAGGCTTTTTATATCGTGATATCTTTTTAAAATTTCTAATAAAAACACTTCATACTGGATACTACCGAATAAAAACATTTTATACGTAGTAAATTTATACTCTTCCTTTTCAATATAACATTCACGCAACAAACAATATGTTTTAATAAAAGCGACTTTAAGCAAGTCTCTTTCTTTCAATGCTGGTGAACTTTTTAAATATCCATTCCATAAAGTATTAATTAAACCGGCTTTATCAGATATCAAAGCTTTTACTCTATCTCCAAATTCCGAAGGAGTTTCATTCTCTTTTCTTGTGGCCGGTGAATGCCAATATACATCTGCCTCAATATACCATCTAGTCATCAGATATAGTAAATGTAAAGCAAATCCCTGCTTTCTTCTATTCCAATATGGATCCATAAGTGTTCTTTTATATTTTAAAGACACCGGGCAAATATCTACATCTAGTTCAAACACCCCTTTCTGAAACATAACAGAATACTTATTATTTACACATGTACCCTCAGGAAAGACCAATAAAGGAAGTTTATTATGTGCCAGATGTATCTTCATCTTTTCTTTAACTTTTGCCCGGTCTAATTTTTCTGATCTTTTAAATGCAATAGATCCGTTTTTACCGAGAATAAGATTAAATAATAGATAAAATAATCCACCATGATTCTCAGATACACATGCATGTGGCCGTCCATGATTACTTAAAATTATAAAATCTACAAAAGATGTATGATTGGATACGAAAATATGCGGACGATTTAAGTTACACTTTTTACCATGATGTGTTATTTTAGCACCTACAATAAAGTTTATAGCTTTAATGATAAAAATGTAAGCAAATTTCATTTCATTTTCACAATTTTTTATTAAAGCTTTAGAAATTAACAGCGCATAAAATACAAGGGCTAGTACCAGGAATAATAATCTAATAGGGAGCAATATAAAATATCTAATAAAAAAAGAGAAGATATAAAAAATACCACTTGAATCCATTTCATGTCTTGATATGGGTTGAAAACACTTATGGAAATCATCGGATTCAAGCGAATGTGTGCTTATTGAAATTATGTCAACTGCGTCGTGTAGTAATGAACGTTTATTATTTTGTGTTTTCACATTCATTTACTGTTTGGGGGTTAAATTTATGCAAATATTTTTGACAAGGAAGGGTCTCAACAAAAGTCATTTTAACAAAAACATAAACAATTTCTAAAATTGCATAGAAAGACATTATGTTATAAACAAGCAACCAATTTTTATTTGCGCTTAATCTGAAGTCGATTTGTCTGTTAAACTAATTATAAAATTTTATAAAAATAGAATTATATTTGGAAACTAGTTAAAATAATTTATTAATAGGGCACCATTGTAGTTATAATAATATTTTTAAAAAAGTTCATGAACAAATAACACATGAGTAGATAATTTGTGTATAGTTTTACTATAAACAAAACAAAATCGAATTGATTTTGGAGTACAGTGAATACAATACACTTTTTTAAATCTAATACAATAATTTCTAATGATTCAAATGTTAATTAATAAGTGTGTAAATGTTAGAAATAGTATGTGTTCAACTGAAAAGAAAAACAACTAAGGAAACAGCACAACTTTAGTGTAAACAGCTTTGATTGATATTATAAGTATTTAGTCCTTGATACATCAGACCTCACAGATTATCGGTCTCAATAAAAATAAAAAAAATCTTTTATCAATAAATATGTTATTAGCCAACTCCAACAGTAAAAATAGATTATTTGTTTATCCACATTTTTTCAAAAATATTTTTTTAATTTTTTATTATTCATATAAATTACTTTATGGCTTTGTGTTTTTTCCCATTTATCTTTGTTTTGAGATGCATTTTGGTTCATTTAATGCAAAAAAATAATATCTTGTAAAATCGAATACATTTTTTAAAACATTTAAACATTCTTTTTAAAATTGATTGAAAATTGTTTATATTCAAGTCTGTTTGTGATACAAAAATTTGACATAAATAATAATAAATGTTATACTACTAAATGCTAAGCTTGCACTTTTTTTAAAACAAAAAGTTATATTTTAAGTTAAAATTTTTAGTTTAATTTTAAAAGATTTGTTAAAAAGTAGTTAAAGGGCAATGTTTAAAATAGATTGAGAAAATTTACGACCACCCGCGTCATAATTAAATTTTTTAATTTACTTGATTTTTGATTATTTCTGACATTTACAAAAAAATTATTCATCTTTGCAAAATTTTATCTTTACTTAATAAAATATCTAAATTTTAGATTTGATAAAAATGAAGAAATTTTTGCGTAAATGTCAAAAACAACAAAAATTTTTAACTTTTTATATGTTGTAGATTATTTCATAAATATTTTATTTAAATAATTAAAAAGTAAATTTATCAAAAATTTTGATTATCACGGGTGTAAACATACAAATAGTCATTTTAACAAATTAAACGCACATCAAACATTATTCTTGTTCTTGTATATCTTTGAAAGTAAATTTACAGATAAAAGGCTAGATCAACTTTTTTGACATAAATATTTGTAAAAAAATTTTTAGGGTATGTCTCGATTTTTACGATCTCTGTGTCAGTATTGCCGTGTTTATAATGTTGCTAATGATCAACAAGAAATTTATGTAGTTTCTCTAGATTATAAAAAAGATACTACACATCAAAAATTAAATTGTAAAGAAGAGCACTTTCTATACGAAAATTTTCGGACTGATAGAAGAAAAATGAAAAATAGTAGTGATAAAAAACTGACAAATGCTAGCTTTGATTCTACTAATAGCCATTTTAAAACTGGTGAAAGAGGAACAAATTTCTGCTGTGTTCCTAAGTATCAAGAACCATGCGATAGTATAAAAAGAAATGAATGTAGTGATGCACCCGAATATCAGTTACCTTACCAATCTTTTGAAGATCCAGAGTATGAAGAGATCTGGGACAAAGGAAAAGGTGACAATAGTAAAAAAGATGAGGATTGTAAATCTTTTGAAGATCCAGAGTATGAAGAGATATGGGAAAAAGGAAAAGGTGACAATAGTAAAAAAGATGTAGATCGTCAATCATCTGAAAGCCACGAATATGAAGAGATATGGGAAAAAGGAAAAGATGACAACGGCAAAAAAGATGAGGATTGTCAATCTTTTGAAGATCCAGAGTATGAAGATATATGGGAAGAAGAAAAAGATAATAACACAAAAGAAGAATCTGATCAACACATATCTACAAGTACTCCTGAACGTGCTAAATCTCAAATATTTGATGACAATTTATCTTTAGTGCCAATTTCTAAAAATTCAACCGGCAAGGGATGTCAAAAAGATGATGATCAGTCTGAAAAAAAGAAAAATTTCCGCAAATCTGTTGTTATAATTATCTACACTGTACAAGAAACAGATAAAAATAGTGAAAATTAAATAATTTTTGTTTAAGTAATTTAAAAAAAAATTAGTTCATTATAATACAAATATTTTATAATACATCAAAGAGGATATTTTACCTTACAAGCTTGCTTTTTTCTTCCAAAATTTTTACATATTTTTGAAAAAAGATTAATATAAAAATATTGTTTAATTTATTGTATTTTTACCACAAAATATCAGAATGGTTTACAAATTGATTTTAAAACAGCCATGCTCTTCGAAAAGTGCGTGTCGATATTAAATTTATTACAAGCTAAGCTTAGATCTTAGTTTGTGTTTTATGGTACTTTAAATTAAAGATTTTTTATTTTAGAAAAAATTAAATTTAAAATAAGAAAAGCAAAATTAAGATCAAAATAAATTAACTTAATGAAACTTGGGTGCCGTCCAGCTTCAAGGGAATTAACATCTCGTTTGGGAACGCACCTTGAGGCCAGAAATAATGTAAATTAAATTTTTACTATAACAAGGGTACGCAAACATTTAGAATGGATTAAAAACTGTAAAAATATTTAAGGCCTTGGCTGGTGCACTCTGGGGTTGGTTCCTTCGAGCCAAATAAGTGACTAGACGAATGAAAGCAGGAAGGTCTTTGGTCTCTATACTAGAGGATTCTGTAGTACACTGGCCGAAACTGGTGGGAGACGAGTGGTCAACGCAGTTTATAAAAATGCCGGACTGGAGATGTGGCGGTGTAAGGAGGTGTGCATAAAAATACAGATGATAGTAGGGGTCTTTGATACTTGTACGATGACATCCCTCCTCGGGTTGTTCAAACCATATATAATATTTATATCTACTATGAGCTATTCTGGACAGGGTATGGATACAAATGGTACCAGGTTCTCCTGGAGCCCAAGTATAGTGGATAAACCAAAATCTGCTACTCCGGCAAGTTTAAAAAGGTGTAACTTTTGGTAAGTAAGAATCTCACACTACCAGTTTGACAAAAATCAAAGTCTATAGTCTCTCTGTTCCTTATGCAATCCAAAATTTCTCTTACCCTCTTGCACAGAAGAAAAATCAAATTTACACAGATAGTACAGAAGAAGTTTTAAGCCAAAATTAAAGAAAAAACCAGAAGTCAATGTAACACTGAAAATTTAGTTTATCATATATGAATAATTAAATTTGCTAGTAAAATAAAAAAAATTTTGATTACAGAGCAGAAAAAATATTTAAAGTTTAATTATGAAAGAAGTTTTATTTTAGATATTATTTTTACGTAAAAAACCAATTTTGTTCTTAGGTTATTTATACATTTTAAGTAGCCTTCGCAATTATCAAACTAAATTATCCTCTAGTAAGTTAGTAAAACGAAAAAAATATTGTTTAAATATATTACTTTTAAAAGCATTTGATATGTTAAAGTAAGTAGTCTGTAATTTTATCTTTGTTAAAATAATTTCTTTAATTTATCTTGTAGAGTTTTTTCTTAAAATTTATATCCTTCATGAATAATTCAAAAAAAATTAATTTTAGAAAATTCATAATTTAAAATATTTTTATTGTTATGAATTTAGGATTATGCCGTCAATTAAAGTTAAGTTTCTTAAGTTTTGTTTCGTATTGCTTATGCTAAAATATGTATTAATTTTTAATAAATTCTAAAACATTTTAATTTGATACCAATTATAAATATTTTAAAGTATAAATATTTTAAAGTATAATAATTCGTTTTGCTAGTACAAAAAAGGCCTTTTCAAACAAAAGATATTTAATCTATAATTTTGTTATAAAAGCTAAAATCTTTACATCGTAATTTTATCATGAATTTTAAACCTTTCTAAACAAATTGTTTACAATTTTAATTTGTTTTGTTATGTTTGTTTATATCCCTAAATGACTGTAGCTTCCAATAGAACAGATGGCTTCTACAATTTACTTATTATTATATCTACACTAAGCATTATTAAATTCTTTATAGAAGACTATATAGAATTTGGATTTTTAATGAAAATACCATTTTTAGATTTTTCGATCCACGACATAATATTTTCAGCATTTAGTCTTTTATTGTACTGTTTAAGATCTTCTATAAGTTACTTTATTGTAAACTTATCTATTATATATACATTTATCAATTTTTTAATATTTGAAAGTATAATTATTTATGTAAATCTTATGTATATTAAAAATATCTATCTTGCAGGAGGATTATTGATCTTAAATTTAATTCTTATAGCCAAATTAGTATCATTTCATGTTTTTTATACATCTTGTAATAAAGTGTTAAAAGAAGAAAAAAGTTTAAAAAATCAAATTGTGCATGAAAAAAGAAATTTGGAATGTAAGCCGACATTTATTAATTCAGAATTAGATCAAAAAAATAATAGAAATTTAGATGATACAATAGACCAAAAAATACCTTTTATAAATTTATCAAATATAACTGATAGAGCAGGGAATTATGTCGATAGTCTAGAAAATCACACTCTACTAGATCAAGAATTTTTAATAGAAAATAATGACATAAAAAAATGTACATTTTTACATTTTGCGTATTTCAATATAATTCCTACACTATGTTATTTACAGAAGTATCCTATGACAGAAAGTAGAAACTGTAAGAAAATTTTATATAGATTTTTTTCATTAATAATAGGCCTTTTAATATTCATATTTGTCACAGATCAATATTCTATTCCAAGCATATACAGAATTATAAAATGTGACAATTTCTGGATAGTTGTAGAAAATGCAATTAATTTATCTTTAAGTACTGCTATCTTATTTCTAATTTTTTTTCACATAGTATTCGTATGCTGTTTAAATATTTTAGCTGAAATTACTAGATTTAAAAATATACATTTTTATCAGGCGTGGTGGAATTCTACGACAGTCCGCCAATTTTGGACTTTATGGAATATTCCTGTACATTTGTGGATAAAAAAACACATATATATTCCCTTACGTAAACGATCTTTGTCACGAAATCAGGCACTTGTTTGTTCATTTCTAATATCTGCAATAGTGCACGAATATGTTTTAAGTGTTTGTACAAAAAATTTTTGTGGTTATGTATTTTTAGGAATGATGGCACAAATACCATTAATTTACATATCAGATAAAATTAATAAACTATGCCCAATTTTATCAAATTTTTTCTTTTGGGGATCTTTTTCGATTATTGGCCATCCAATCATTGTAATATTGTACTATAGATCCAAAGAACTTAGTAAACTGAATTTTATGCGCAATCATAAATAAATATGTTTTTTATTTTTTACATTTTGAAACTTTATTATTGTTTTAAATTTAAATATTTAAAAAATACAAAAACAAAGGGTTAGAAAAATGGGTAATGTTGTGGCAATAATTCAGCAGAAGTTCGTAAACAAACTTAAAAAGTTATTTTCTACAGGTAGAAGACACTCTATAACAATGATTGGATTAGATGCAGCTGGTAAGACAACACTTCTTTACTTTATGAAAACAGGGAGTGTACAACATACAGTGCCAACAATAGGATTTAATTGTGAACAGTTAGAAATTGGAGATTTAAAATTTCAAGTTTGGGACATTGGTGGTCAAGAAGTTTTCATCAAATTTTGGCATAATTATATTAAAACAAGTAGTGCTATTGTGTATCTGGTAGACATTGCAGATAAACAAAGATTTGCACAGGCTTCTAATGCACTGTGGACCGTTCTTAAGGAAGTGCCAACACATAAGCCTCTTCTTATTCTAGCTAATAAAGATGATTTAATGCCAAATGAGGTGGAAAAAGAGAAAAGTTTAAATCAATTAACTGAAGAAATGGGACTTGATAAATATAATGGTCCAAAAAATATAGTACCGTGCAGTGTAATAGAAGCTTCCTCCTCTGTATCTCCAGAAAGCAGCAAACATAATAGTAAAATTATTATTGACGCATTTAAATGGTTGAGTGGTGAACTTAAAAAGATGCCACATGAAAATTAAATATCAATTTGACTAAATTTTTATAAAATGAGTAATAGCTTTTACAACAATGTTTAAAGTATAAAAATAATGATAAAGTATAAACAAATTAAGTTTTTCATTTGACTTAAACAAAAAATCAATAGATTTAATAATTTTTAATTAATTCAGATAGTGCTAGTATAAAGGTACTTTCTAATTCTTCAATATTTTTTATGACGCAATATCTAAGGCTAAATAATTCTAAATATTTTTGTATAAAAATATTTCCATCAGTAACAGACACCTTTGACATGTTACAAATATCATTCTTGTCTATTAATATTACTAAAAAATTCTTATTATAAAAACCTGTCTTCTGAAAGATACCATCTGTTAATACAATATTAACACCATCTTTAAATTCTTCGATCCAGTCAACATTAGTTTCATTGTCTGTAAATGTCATATCTTGAATTTCGCATTCTTCTAAAATATTACCAAACCTATAAAGTTGTACAGGAATGTTAAGAGCTTTAAAAGAGTTTTTTAATCGAGAAAACAAGATAAATAATATATTAACCATCTCTTGGTTGTACATACTTTTACTATTATCTATAAATATTCTTATAATATATTCTTTTTTATCACTTCTTCTTCTTTTCATCCATATCTTATCCTTCCTATAATCACTAGCAATATATGGAATAAGTCTTTTTAAGTTTAATTTTTTGCCTGATTTATAATCTCCTATAAACTTACTGTATTTATTTGATTCTAAAATATTTCTAAGCATTAATATCAATTTCTCGGAGGTCGACTCTTTGTAAGAAATATCTAAAACGTGATCAACTGATTCTTTTTCTCCTTTATTTTGATTGCCCTCTATTTCCTCTATGCCTTCCCCTGGGCACAATGCTTCTTCTAAATTTTCTCCAAAAACTTTTCTGTCATAATCAACTGCTTCTTCGCATGTCTGATTTTGATTAAGTTGTCCTTCTTTATATTGATACTCTGTTATCACATCATTTTTATGATCTAACAATAACTCCTCATTTTGATTAATTAAGGGATCATTAACGGCTTGTTCGTTTTCTGAACATGTTGATCCATTGTTTTCTTCTTCAATACCTTCATCAAATCCATCAGAACTTTCACCGACTCCTTCATTATCTTCAAAATTATAATTTTCTTCATCTTCTTTTTCTTCTACATTTTCTTTTTGTTCGCTATCTTCGTTCCCATCAACTCCTATGTCATTATTTTTATCTTCTGATTCATCTACTGTTGACATTGATCCTTCATTTTCAAAATCAATACCATCTTCTTCTTCTACATTATTTTTATTGGAATATTCGTCACTAATCTCATCCTGATCTTCGATTTTATCACTAATGTTTTTCTCTCCAGTTCCACCTTTTATTCCTGTGCCGTCTTCATATTCATTTGAATTGTCATCTGCAAAGTGAAAAATAAAATACAGAAATGGTGGAAATGGATTTTCCAAAGCAAATGATATTAACTTAAGATGTGTAGAATCTTCTGTTATTTTATTTATTACCTTAGAAAGGCATATTTCATTGTAAGAAAATTTATCATCTACCTTTCTATTGTAAAATTTAGTAATTAGATATTTTTTTGAATAACACGGTATTACATTTTGAAATACCATTCCATCTAACATATTTTGTATAGCGTTCCTGTTAAAGTCTTCAGCTAAATTAATAAATCTTTCACAAATACACTTATCTGCTATATCCTTTGTAAACTTATATAAAATCAAATTAATATTAACATCTTTACAACAACATTGCGGTTTATTAAAACTTAAATCTAAAATATTTGTAGTAGGTAATGTAACAAACTCAATAACTTCATTTCTAATCTTTTCAAACAATTTAGGTTCTTTTCTAAGTTTATTTCTAGCTTCATTAATTTTTTTATTAACTTGACTTTCTATTTCAAATGCCTTATATTGCAATACAAGATTATAAAATAATACAGATCTTGAGTCAATTGCCTTTAATTCTGCAAATTTCATTCTATCATAAAATTCGTAAACTTGACAGTCAAAAAAATATCTTTCTGCCATCTCTGGTGTCAGATTATGTATTTCTAAATATAAAAAATACTTATAATTTGTAGGCCATGTCAAAGAATCAGAATTTTTAAAGTATTTAGTAATTTTTTTCAATGCAATATTCATATCATTAAACACTTTTCTTTCATCTAAAACGAAATCTGAAATTTTTTCTTCGAGATTATTTATCGACAAAATATTATCAGCCAATGTTTTATGCACTTTATTAGTTTTCAAATATTCAATTATTTTTTCATAAAGATCTTCAGGCTTAATAAATATTGACAAATGACTTAGTGAACTGATTAAGTTAACTAAATCATAAGTATAATATAAAGTAAATTGTCTATTATCTAAAATTTGAGCAGTTTCTTTGACTTTAGAAATATCTTTCAGACATTCATTAATGTATAATTCTGGTAGCTGACATTGAGGATCTATTCCTTCTATGCAATTAAAAAACACGTTCTTGTAAATACAAGCTTCAAAAATTAAATTTGACAAATCTAAACCTTTTTTGTATCTGATATTATAAATAAACTTACATAAATAATCTGAGAACTTAGTATAATTAAAATCCTTAAGATGATTTAACAATTCTTTATTGTGCAAAAAATTTGCTACAACATTTTTATAAGATACATGTTTTGCTTCTTCTTCTTCTTCAAAAACAAAATTTTTTAAATTTCTTAGATAATCTTCATAGGTCAAATTTTGCGTATTTATTAATTTTTTACAAAATCCCAAACACCTTTTTGAATATTTTCTTAAATTATATAAAAATAATAAGTAATAATCTAAAATATCATCAAATCTATTAAACAAACTATAATTGCAATTGTCTGAATAATAAGAACATAAATCTAAATTCAAAAACTTACTTTTGAACTCCTCAAAATTTCTATCTAATTTTATATTAATTTTTGAAATTTCTATAGAAAAATTGTTATTAAGAATCTCTAGTTCATGTAATAAACTAGAAATTTCTCCTCTTCCATATTTATAAATAGATTTAATATTATCATAAATATTCTGTAAAATATCGTTTTCTTTCATTTGTTTTTCCCACGTAAGATATTCTTTGTAGCAAAGAAGTGGATCAGTTTTAAGGTTTAATAACATATCAAAATATTGATCATCAAAATTTATAATAAAGATCAAATTTATATCTGCTGCTAGTAAAGATAATATATTCAATGGGTGAATATCTTTTAGTGATTTATCCTTGTAAGAAAATAGTAAATCTTCTTTGAGTTCTTGTATAGTTAATGGAATACTAAGTTCACATTCATTTTTATTGGCATTTTTCATGCTCAAAACTTCTAAATTTAAATTTTTGATAAAAGTAAGTGCTTTTATATTTTCATTCCCTTTTTCTATATTTTTTAAAATTTGTAACTTTTCTCTGTCATTCTTACCTACTCGAATATTAAAATTTATATTTTTATAAAATTCAATATATTGAACTTTAGTCTCATCAAAAAAAATATCTTTTTTATAAAACTTAAACATTTCATCAATGTTTGACTCAAAAATCTCATTATAAATATTACTTAGATTTTTTACAAAAAAATTTGGAATTTCAGATAATCTATTAAATTTTTTATAAGCAAGATCTATATTCTCAAAAGGGACGGGTTCGTTCTTAACCCAATCAGAAAAATTAATATTTGCAAGTTTTAACTTCTTATTACATTTTTTGTCTAATAATTCATCTTTTATAACTTGAAAATTGGCTGAATAGGTCGATTTTTCTCTAAAAAAAATTTTCCAAACGTCGATATATGACAACACATTTGATAACTTAACAACTATGCATCGGTCTATTAGAGCTGGAGATAAATTTACTAAATTATCTACCAATAATACAAATCTGGTTTTCTCGTTGACCAAAACATCTGTATCAATTCCTTTTTCATAAATATTAATAAACCGATCACTTTCAAACAGTGAATTACATCTATCAAATATACATTTCTCAATCAATTCGGGATTATAAAAAATACAAAGTGATCCTGAGATGACATTTTGAATTAATAAAGAATCCCTCCATACAAATACACCATCTTCATTTTTATAATATTGTCCCAATAAATCAGTAGTGTCAATATCTTTATGACAGATTAAATCATAACTTGGAATATCAAATAATTGTGATAAAAATTTAATCAATGACTGAATTCCGAAACCACCATCAATAATTAATGGAATTTTATAATAAACTGCATTAAATATTATTTCGAGTTGTTTTAGTTGTGAATGTATAAACACATATTCAGAAGAAATATTAGCATTTTCTATATTAAAATTAAAATTTCCAAATATAAACGATTTATCAATAATTTTATATGTAATTTCTTTTTCTGAAACAATACAAATATTTCTTTTAATGTTTTCTCTTAATGAACAATTAGGAAACAATTTATAATTTTTAAAAGATTTTTGTAAAATCTTTTTTATATCGTCAATATTGTATTCATTCATGTAAATATTAACAAATCTGTCCCTAAAACTTTTAGGTAAAATTTTACGTCCATTTAAATTATTAAAAGGATTCATAGTTGCAAAAATTTTAGTTTCAGGATGAACATAAATTGTACATTCTGGTAAAATTAGTCTTTTTCTATAATCTAAAACAGAATTTAAACCTTCTATAACACTTTGAGAGCAAAGATTAATTTCGTCTAAGATAATCCACCAACCAAGCTCTAAGGCTTTCGTTAATTGACTTTTGACAAATTTAACTTCGTTTCCAACAGGTAAAAAAGTACCTATTAGATCGGATAATTCCGTCTGTTCTGATAAATTAATTCTAATATATCTTTTACCAACTATTTTTGATAGGTTAAAAATAATACTTGTTTTTCCTACACCAGGTTCTCCTTCTAATAAAATTCCTTTGTTAACAACCAGAGCTCGTAAAATCTTTTTTAAATTACATAATGTTGTTTTATTCTCAAAATCAAAATTCGAATCTGCTTTTTTTTCAATTAAAAAAGGATAAATAGATAAAACTTTCAAAGAATCTTTAAAAATAAAGTCACAATTATTTTCAATAGAGCTAAAAGCCAAATTTTTCGCTTCTTGTAATATTTCCTGCTGTGAAATCTTATCGCTAATTTTAACAAGTAAATTTTGATTTTTAACACAGCCTAAAAATTCGCAAAATAATTCAAAATTTCGCAAAGAATGCGCTTTTAAAATCAAATCTTTAGTAAATTTAAAATTAACTAAATTTCTCTTAACCAGCATTGTATCAAAAATTTCACACATTTCCGAGGCAGGAAGGGAATAATAAATTTCGGTAAATCTATTTCTTAAGGCTAAGCTTAGTTCTCTTTTGCCGAAATCTGTTCCGGGATTCATTGTAGCAAATAAAACAAAACTTTCATGTGCTATAAAATTTTGATCAATTTCAGTTACAAATATCTCTCTTTTATCTTCCAATAAGCTATTAAGTCTTTCAAGTACTGCATCTTCAGCAAGATTTATTTCATCAATTAAAAAAAAATTTCCTTCAATAACAGAACTTAAAAGTGGACCATTTTGCCATTTTATTTTCTTGTCGTAGAGCATAAAATTTCCAGTAAAGTCAGAACTTTCTATACCGCTGTGCATATTAAGAAATACAAATTTCTTTCCATAAATTTTTGCAAATATTTCACAAATCTTTGTTTTTCCAATACCTGTTTCACCTATAAGTAAAACAGGTTCATTACATAATATGGCAGCATTAATTAGCTTAATTAATTTAAGAATTGTTTTTGTCAAAATCATGTGATTACTAAACTTTTCTATCATGTTTGACTCAATTTTAAAAAAATCATTTGTGTCATACAAATGATTATAATTATCAATTTTAGTAAAAACATTTTTAAAAATTTCTAAAACTTTTTTCTTATCTTCATCCAGTCGTTGCTTCTCATAAATAATAGATAACCCAGTTTCATAAACTTCATAAAGAGTTCTTGGTATTCTTTTCGCCCATTTAAATAGATCTCTAAGTGTCATCAAGTAGTCAATATTTCTCAACCCTTTAAGTTTTTCAAAAACTTTTACCATGTGTGTACAAAAGCTTTTAGGCAATTTAGTCTTTAAATGTAAAATTTCTAAAATTTCAGATTCAGAATGCTCAGGAAAAAAGATTTCAATAAATCTATTTCTCAAAGCTTTGCTAATTCCTTTCCTTCCGCCATAATTGATATTTTGCGTTGCAAATAACCTAAAGTTTGGATGTGATTTTATTAGTTCGTCTTTTTGGGGTAAATATATTTCCTTATTGTCATCTAATAGCCTATTTAAAACTTCTAAAACCTCACTCTGTGCCAAATTTAATTCATCTAGAATTACCCACCATCCATTTCGTATTGCTTTTATAAATAAGCTTTCTTTAAATTCAAAACCAGTAGGTGTTGTAACATAATTTCCTAAATAATCAGAAGATTCTGTATGCTCATGATTATTAATTCTAATAACTTTCTGACCGTATCTCTTAGCTAAATAAAAAATTATACTGGTTTTTCCTGTAGATGTATCACCCTGCAAAAGTAAAGGTTGATTTAAATGGATGCATATTTTAATATCATGCATTAATAACTGTGTTTTAGAAGTACAAATATAATCATCTTCTTGATACGTAGGCACAATTTTTAAGTTTGTTTCGTCAAAAATATTGCTAAATTTAGAATAAACTATTGATCGACTATGCAAATCAAATTGAGTTAATATAAAAACCGAGATAATATCAATATTCTTTAGATATGTATTATTTTTAAATGCATTAAGACATCTGATGAGAGTTCTTCCAGAAATTATAGGCTCAAGTTTGTTTGTCAAAATCCTTTTTTTAATCATTTGTTTAACATCAAAAAAAATAGTACAAAAACTATCTAATACGTCGCTAGAAAACATCTCAGAAATCGTGTTTTTAGCAACTAATTTTATATCAATAAGATTATCAGTAAAATCAAAAAAATTAATTCTGTTAAAATTGTTAGAAATAAAATCTTTTTTTCCGAAATCATTTCCAGGATTCATGCATGCAAAAAGCCTAAAATTTTTGTGAATTTCAATTTTTTCAAAATTCTTTTTTTCATAATTAATAATTTCCCTCTTTGATAACAAAGAGTCAATCATGTCCAACGTTTCATCACTGCACAAATTTATTTCGTCTAATAAAATCCAGTATCCATTTCTGATAGCGTCAATTAAAATCCCATCTTTCCATATAAAATTTGCTTTATAATCAATACATTTTTCTAAAAACAAAATTTCAATATCATCTATTTTATCTTTTAAAAAGTTTAACAACATTTTATTATCAAAAATTTTAGGTTTAACTATATTATGCCTAGAGTACAAATCACTAATTTGTTTAGAAATATCTAATGTTTTATAACCACCAATTAAATCAAAACCATCTATATCTGGAGACATGTTTATAATTTTAAGAGTTGTATTATAACCAAAATACTGCTGAGCATTATTACAGATATATTGAATAACTGAAGTTTTTCCTACACCAGTTTCACCAACTAGTAAAGTACACCTATTTAATTTTAAGTTATTAAGGACATTTCGTATTGCTAATTTGTAAGCATAAGTTTTAACGGTATTTAAATCATAAATAATAACATTTGGATAGTAATTAAGATTCAAAATTGATAAAAGTTCTTCTGAGTCATGTTTAAAAAATAAATTAATACATGATTCATATAAAAATGTTCGATTATCAACAGTATAATTTTTCATTTTCAAAAATGGCAAAATTTGCAAAATTTTTTTGTAGTGAAAACTGCATAAATTTCTATCTTCTGAAAAACATAATGTCACCCCATCAAAACACACCAAATTACCTGATAAACAAGATTTATAACAAAATCCAAATTCATCATTATCACACTTAGTATGAACATTTTCAATAATAAGAGATGTAAATTTAGTAAACAGCTTATTATTTTTTAGTACTTCTTTAAAGGAATAAACAATAGGTCCTACAAAATGCAAATCGTGTGCTTTAAATATGTTTTCAGAGGTAAAAAATAAATTAAAATTATTGTGCGCCATAACTACTTCTCCTTTACTACTTGTTATTATTCTCTGCTTTATTACCGAATTTAAAAAATATAATAAATTAAAGTTATTATCAATATTTTTAAATAGAATATTATTACCTTCTTTCATAGCAGATATAAGAATTCCATCTACAAATGTTATTTCTCCATATTCAAGAGCATAAAACCCTGACAAATTTTTAAAATCCAAAATTTCTCTAGCATCAATAATTATCAAATCTTTTACAATAGTCTTAATAAAATTTGTTCTACCAACCTCTCCATAAAAGCAGACTGAAACTTTAAGATCTATATAAAGCTCTGCATCTATTTTTATTTTATTATAGTTTTTGACTGTTTTTTCCGTTAATTCTTTATTCATTTTACCCTTGGAAAAAAAATAATTATTTGTAAAAAAAAGTTATTTATTTATAAGTGTCTAAAAATCTGTATACCTTCAGTTATTAGATAATATAGAAGTATTAACAAGTATAAGAGAGCCAAAGCTAATGTTAATATCAAGGTATATATAAAAAATTTAAAATACCACGATTTTTCATTCTTTGTAGTTGTAGGATCAGTTTGTAAAGATTGATTTATTTTTGTCTGTAGACTTGAAACTTGTTCTGATGTCCCACTACTCTCACCTTTCTGAGCCGAGTTATTTAATACTTCTTTTTCAATTTGTACACTGGAAACTTTTTCATTGTTAATTATTTTTAAAATTAAATATATATTGTAATTTATAAGATAAATAAATCTTTCATTAATTTCTCTGATGCGTTTAATCATACCTCTTTTCACTATTCTTTGTATTCCTTCTTCATTTATATCTTCACTACAAAATATTGCATTTACTAATATTAGAAGATAAAATATTATATTTTTATAATTCATGTTAGTTATACAATAATATCTTATTAAGTTTTATAGGAAAAATTACAACACTTCAAAAAGGAGCATTTTATATGAAAACTTGTTTGTTTGTGTAAAAAATCATTTATCGAAAATTTTATAACTTATGGAACATTTATCTTGTCTACGATTAGAAGTCCTTTCTGATGACGCAACATCAAAAAAAATCATCTCACACAACTAGATTTGTTTTAAAAATAAAATTATAACTACTTTGTATATAATTAAATTATTAAAAATATTTGTGTAAAAAATATGTTAAAATCTTTTCAAATTATTTAATAAAAATTTACGCATCAATTTTTTTAAATTTTCATATAAGAAAAAAAAAATACTTATCGTCTTTTTTTAAAAACACTATCTTTTAATCATTTTTTTTATTTTTGATAATTAAATCCTTTTTTTTAAGGAGAACAGGTATTTAAGAGAAAAAAAATAAGTAATTATGCGTTTTAACTTATCTTTTTATATATCAACACTTTTAATATGTCTTCTAAACATTTATGCCACATCTACTGAACAAGAATTGAGAGAATTAATAGGAAAGAGAGCAAAAGAAATGATTTCGAATTTTCAAAGTACTTTAGAAACAACAACGAACGATACATGCGGAGAAATTTATGAAAAACTGGGTACTTTAGGCCAAGAAGAAACATCACAAACTGCAGAAGCTACAGAACTGCAATAAAAAAATAAATTTTTTTACAATTTACTATATAAAATCTAATGGATCCATATCTATTTTAACGCTTATTACTTTAAAATTGTCAATTTCATTAATCTCAAAAACATCTTCATAAGCCTTTAAAAAATTATAAAATTCAAAATCTTTACAAATTTTACATTTATCTAAAAGTTGTTGTAGTTCCATCGATCCATACTTAACCAATAATTCATAAAAATGTATAAAATACATTTTGTAAATGGTATTTCTATCAATAAATTTTTTTAAGTTTGTATCTTCAATGTTAAATCCCTTATTTAATTTTGTTTTTATTTTATTTTTAAGTCTACAACCCTCTACTGTTAATTTTTTTTCGGTGCAATAAATAATTTCATCTTTATTTAATTTATGAAGCACAGCGTTAATACATGAAAATTTAATATATTTTGATGGATCAAGGTAATCATTTAGAACTAAATCATATTTGATTTTAGTATATAAAAATTCAAACATATCTAAATCATCAGCAGTAATTTCATCACTATCTGATTTAACGTTTCCAATGATATTATCAATTATTTTCATGACTTCCTTGTGAAATTCAAAGTATTTATGCTCAATAAATTTTTTAATATTTTTGTACGCTGAGGATTTATCGTATGATTGCAAAAAATCAAAGCATTTGATTCTATCAATAAAACTAACATATATATTTTTTTTAGAACGTTGCTTAATATTTGAAAGTATGGATTTATAATCTGAATGGATTTTTATAATAAATGGCTTATTGATTAGCGATTCAACTAAAAATGAATTGTTTTTTTCCATCAAAATATTAAAATCTTCGTTAACAATGAATTCAGAAATAGGTTCAGACGGGCTATTTAAAGAAAAAGTCTTAATATGTAATTTATCTTGTTCTTCAACAATATTTAGATCCTGTAATTTATAACTGTCTAAGTTATTTAGACTTTCAATGTTCGTATTGAGTCCAATATACTTTTTAAATAATCCAAAGGTTTCTAATTCTAATAAATATTTGATAATTCTTCGATAAGAAAGTGATATTTTTAACTTCTTTGTAAATTTATAAAATAAATTTTTATTACACAAATCAAAATAAGATATGTCTTTTAATTTATCTAAATCAAGATTGGATTCGTTTAATGTATCCGAATCTAAAATTTTGAGTAAAATGTTAGGAATTTCTACAGGAATTACATTAAAAAGAAGTTTCAAATTCATTTTATAAATTAACTCTTTACTAATGACTGTATATCCATTAACAGAATTTTTTACTAAGAAATCAAAAAATATTGTTATTCGCTCTCGATCATCTGTGATGAATAAATTATCCGTTGGTAGAAATATCTCATTTAGTACAAATTTATGATAGAAACTTTTTTCTAATTTATTATTAAAATCAATTTCCTTTTCATTAGAGTTGTTGTTCAAGTAAGAAGAAATATCAACATCTTTATGAATAATTAAAGTCTTGCGTTCACTGGTGTCCATAAGAGCATAAATTTTGTGACCTGCTTTTAGAGCAGTTGACATAATCGTCTTTTTACAAGGAAAATAACTATAGTTCATTTTATGTTGAAACTGTTTCTGTGTATCTTCAGATATTACAAACCCCCTTTTTTCTTCTAACATCTGATTGAGTGCATCTATCCTATCATTTATAGTTATAAATTTTTTAGTCTCTGCTTCTTCATAATTTGGAGCATCAGCATTGTCAACAAGATAAAAAAGACGCCTTTTTACTCTTCCGATAAATATCTCTTTCCATTTGTACCTGTTACTATTTAATTCGATAATCTTATTAAGATAATGTAAACTTTGACGAATAGATAGCCCAAATTGCTTTTGCATATCTTCTGTAGTAATTCCAATATATGTTTCACCAATTAACTTTTTAATTTGATCCAGAATAGGAATCTCTGTACAGAACTTAATTGGGATAAATGGTGAATCGTATTGAGTATATTCAAGACCTTTGTTTTCAAATAGCTTATCTTTATTAATTTTTATAAGCCAGTGTGCACCATTTCCCCTTTTTTGCTCTAACACTTCTTTACATCTAAGTTTCTTTGCAACATAAAATAATTTTTTCGAGTCTAAATGTAGATGTTCTCTAATTTCCGCACTTTTAACAAAACCGTCAGCTTTTAGTAAAAAATCTATGACCCTGTAAGGATAGTCTTCTTTAAATTTATACCGTAATAATCTCTCTTTAAAAATATTAAACTTTATTCGTATATTTAATAAATCATAATCTTTTATAATTGTATCATAATCTTTCAGTTTTGTAATAGTGTCACCATTAAAATCATTTTCAATCTTGCTAACATCAGCTTTATAAAATATATCTACAAAATCAGTATTACAAAAAAGTTTAATTTCTTCTTTTTTATAATTAGATAGACTTGTTCCATAAAGTCCAAAGTAAAGTAATTCATTTTTATATTTGTCCATGGGCAAAAATTATTTTTTTTACTTTGCATGTTTAAGTGAAACTTTTGCTCAAGTTTTTTATAATTTAAAATATATCTATAGTCAGAAAAGCTATAATAATCAAAATGTAATATCAACCATAATCTACTTTATTTTTTTTAATAATTTTAAATAAGAAAAAAAAGAAAACATATAATATTATAACAGTAAGCTCAAGAAATTAACTCAAAGATGATTTTTTATTACATCGAATTTTAATACATATAATTTTAATTATAATCATCTTACAGATGACAATAACAAAAACATAACATACTTATATTTATTTTAAATTTGTGATTTAGAAAGCTACTTTAAGTTGTTTATAGATGGAACTCCTTGTCATAATTATTGTGTTATCAACAAATGTATCTAGAAAATAAACATATAAATACTTTTTGCAAAAAGTTTACTAATTCTAAATTTATAAATTTAATATATCACTTTAAGGCGACGCCTGAGCTTTTAGAATTCTATTTTATTATAAAATTTATTATAATTAATAAATTATTTCCCAAGTCAACAAAAGCATTGCATCAAGTTGTGAGGGACTGACACGCTATTAAAAGTAATAATATCTTTTGTAGAGCTAGCTAAAAGTATCTTTATTGATAAAAGAATTCTTTTATATTTATTAAAGACACATAACCTGGACAGTTTTGATATATCAAAACTAGAATGCCTAAAGTATCGACCACAACCGTTTACACCAAAGTTGTGTTTTTTCACTAAACTGATCTTCTCTTTAATTGGCCACATGTCTATTCTAACATTTTTAATAAACTTTTTTTGAATTTTGTAAAAATTTTTTATTGGAATTTTGTTTGTTTGTATATTATATAAAGTAATTTATGTCAGAAAAGGGGAGCTTACAAATTTACACTTTTGAGTTATACTTTGAAAATTTTTTGAAATAAGAATATAAGTTTCAAAATTAACATTTTTCTATACGCTAAAAATAAAAATTTTGGTATTCAAAACAATTTATTTGTTAAATTTATCAACATCAAACGTGCCAACATGATCCCATCCGTTTTTATCCATAAAGTAAAGATTAACATTCCCACCTGAATACGCATCTCTATGAGTCGCGTGCCAAATAGCCTTTTTCCCAAGTTCTAAAGCTTCATCTTTATTTAAATCAAATTTATATGATTCATTTAACACACCATATGCTATTGTTGATCCACTACCTACAGAAAATAGACTACCCGAAATTCTTTTGCCATCATTATCAACGTAATAAATTAAAGGCTTGTCCCCATCATATCCACATACCATAGATCCTAAAGACAAACCGCGCCCTTTGTATTGATACACACAATTACTCAAAAACATACTAGCGGCCGATACACTAATTCTTTTATCATTTTTTAATTCATAAGATTTAGCATACAATCCCATCTTTTTTTCCCAAAAATAACAATCAGATGCACCGCCTGCCATTGTCCCAATAAGGTATTTGTTAATTCTAATAACTTTATGTACGTTCTGCGAAGCGATATAAGAACCAGCTGAAGCTCTAGAGTCTACTGCAATAACCATACCCTCTTGGAATATAAAGGCTAATGTAGTGGTACCTTTATATGGTATACAATGTTTATTAATAATTTTACTATCTACTTTATAATCCTGAATTTTCAAAAAGTCATTTACATCCCACAACTTATTCATAGGGGTAAACTTAAATAATATTTTAAACCCGTAAACAAAAAAAATGAAGTTAAAAGATTTGAAAATAGAATTGTCAAAAATAAAAAATTTTAAAAATGCGAAGATAAAATTAGAACAATACATTACCCCACACGATTTGGCTGCTCATATTGTGTATGCGATTCATACATTGCATAACGATCTTGAGGATAAAAGAATATTAGATTTGTGTTGTGGCACTGGTATGCTTTCTGCAGCTGTAAGTTTTTTTAATCCAAGTACAATTGTAGGTGTTGATATAGATTACGAAGCCATAAAAATATATAAAGAAAATTTGGACCACCTTAATAATGTTGATATTGTTAAAGCAGATTTTAATAATCTCGAATTTAGATCAGGATTTTTTGATACTGTAATTATGAATCCGCCATTTGGTACAAAAATAAAACATCAGGACATAAATGCACTAAATAAAGCACTATCTTTGGGCAAGGTAGTGTATTCTTTACACAAAAAAAGCACAAGAGATTTTTTGTTAAAAAAATACAAAGGCTCTAAGGTCATTGCAGAAATGAAATATGATCTTCCTAAATCTTATAATTTTCATAGGAAAAAATTTAAAACAATTGAAGTGGACTTTATTCGATTTGTATAAACACCGCTAGATTTATAAAAATAAAATTTTTATTTAATATTTGTCGTCAATTTCTTTTAACAATAAGTCTGCTTCCTTCGGTATATCTGATCCTTTAGAATAGTAAAATAATTTTTTCTCCTTTTTTAAAATGCCACTATAAATCTTCCACATCAATTCTGCTTCACTAAAACGTACAACATTAAACGAAGTCCCTTGTATGAAAGAATTAAAAACTATTTCATGATTTTCGTACTCGCCGTATTTTTCATGCATATATTTTAAAATATCTGATTTTGTAAATATTACGTGTTTTACAGTTTTTTGATCACAAATAAATTCAAGAAATACTTCGTTTTTAGGTGCTAAATTACAGATAATTCTCATATTGTGAATCATTGTGTGTTCAAAATTCGTGTCTTTACAAATATTTAATACTTCTCTGTAGGCCTCTGTTTTTATTTCAAAAATAATTTCAGTTTTCTTTTCATTCATTCCCTTTCCCGCTATAGTTATAAATGGAACATTCTCCCATCTTTCAAAATCTACATTAAGTGTAATAATTGAAAATGTTTCAGTTGAAGAAGGTTTGTTCATTTCATGTGTATATTCATTATATTGTCCGAAACAAGATAAATGTTCAATAATTTTAGTATTTTTAAAACAGCTCACTCGACCTTCGGCTAATTTATCACAAGTGTCTGGATGATGTTCAGTAATTAGCACCGCTAATAACTCAGATAAATGATTTTGTACTACATCTTTTACAAGACCATGTGTATCAAAATATGCTCTTCCTTCGGCTCCTATTTCTTCTTTAAAAATAATTTTTACACTTTTAATATGTTTTTTATCTAATATCATTTCAAATTGTTTATTAGTGCTAATTAAATTAGGCCAAGAAACAATAAGCGGTTTTAATAAAAAATGATCGATAAAGAAAAACTTTTCTGTAGGAAAGTTATAAAATTCTAAAAATTCGCCATAATTTGAACCAAATGGTTTTTCTACAGCTATGCCTTTAAATTCATAATTAGAAAGTACTCTTAGTGTATCTAAATAAACCTCGGGTGGAAGCGAAAGGTATACTATTGTTTCGGGAGTAAAGTAATGTTTTAAGGGTTCTAAATCTGTGTAACTTTTTCCTTGGATGTACTGTACTAACTCACAAAAAAAATCGTTTTCGTAAGTATAAAAGCTTTTAAGTACTTCTGAAAAGGGCTTATCATATTTTGTTCTAGCAAAGCCTATAATTTTTGTATTTTTTAAAGGTATTTTGGCAAGTGCAGGAAATAATTTTCTTTTTGCAAGATCTCCACTTGCACCAAAAATTATTATATTCATTGCTGGGCCTTTAAAAAATAATTTAAATATGAAACCCCTTTATTTAAGGATACTCAAAAAATTGATATCTAAAATTTTATATTCACTCAAAATGACAAACGTATATTTTATGATTATCTAAGTTTACTACTTTTATTTATTCTAAATGTACAAAAATCAATTTTTTTGCAAATATCAACAAATAATCTTTTTCTAAATGATGACAGGTGAAAAAAGTTAAATTATATTTCATCTCTTTTATATTTGTCTAATAAAATTTGATATTTTTTGTAATTAATGTCTAGTATCACATGACTATCAAATTTTTCATCACTCTTTGCTTCCTTATAACTAGTTAAATATATTTTATTATCATCGATGTAAAACATAATCTTTTTAGATCTAACTGCTATAGAAACATTAAAAATGTTTTCTACTGTCTTATCAAACGAATCAAAATCCAATATATAGTCATAAAACAGTATTTTGTATTGTTTTGTAAGTAATTTCTCTAAATTTAATAAAAATAAATTGACATCTTCATTAATAATATTTTGACCAGATGGCTTTGTAACGTCTTTAATAACTTTAATAATTCTTTCTGGTGTTTTACGATCTTTAATTTCCTCAAAATAATCAAAATCAATAAACTTTGCAAAGTTGCATTTCCTGTTTTGTGCAAGCACAGCAGTAAAAAAGTGTTCATTTTTATTTTCATTAACTTGTTTAATAAAGTCTTCTAAGTTTATTTTTCTCGTCTTTAAATTTCTATTAAATTGCTTTAAAAACATATCACTATGTATTTCTGTAACTTTAGCATCTAATTTAAGCTCACTAGTGTTTGAGATCCGACTAAAGAGAACATTTGAATGGTCAAAGATTTCATCCAATTCCAAATCATCTTCCATATCGGTTGCTTTAGTTGTTTTTAGTTTCTTTAAAATATCTAAATAATTTTTTTGTATATTATTTTCATTCATATTCTTTAACGGGGGGTAAGAGAAAAAAATACAAGTCTTTTTTAATAGTAGAAAGTGTTTAATTATAAAAATTTAAAAAAGTGTTGAACTTAATTTATGCCACAGATTATAGAATCATTGTTGAGTGTATCAATTTGCTGTTATAAACTAAATTAAGTGTTTTAAAAAATATTCTTAAAGAGTTAAAATTTAGTAATTTTATTTATTTATCGTCTTTTTGTACACGTAACAAAAAGATAAATAGTTTAAAGTATGTTGTAATTTTGTGTCTTAAAAGGACATGAAAAATCATTAATTTTATAAAAATTATTCATTTTTTTCTCATTTTCTGTAATTTGTTTACCTTTTATAGACAATAATTCTTTTACAGTAATTTGGCTGCTATTTTCTAAACTGACCCCTGCTTCAGTAAATAATTCGATTTTAATATTTATAGAATTTCGTATACGTAATTGTTTTGTTTTGCATTTGATAGTACAGTTATTGCAGTTATCTATTACTAAACTTTCTAAAATTTCAAGATCCTCAAAAATACATGCTTTACAGTTATTAATTTCTCCTTTATTGTAAATTTTTTCAAATAAAAAGGATTGATTTGTAAAATCAAAATATTCTAAATAGTCATGCACAGCAAAAAGATCATTTGAGCTAAAACTAAAACATTCTTTCTGCTCTAAATTATTTGTTTTGATGCTAATTTTTGCAGAATACAAATTTTTATACCTATTAATTTTTTCTAATAATTTAGTTCTTAAATATTCTGATTTTTCAATAATTGCGCTCTTTTCTAGGTCTGTAATTGCTTTTTTAGCAGTCTCAAGATTATTATTTTCTATTTCTATTTCAATTTTATCCTTCATAGAAGGATAAAAAGTTTATAACTTTTACAGCATTCGTATAAGCAAAAAAATGTTGTTAAGGTTATATTTTAGTAAAAAAATTACAAGTAAATGAGCTGGTGAAACATAGTAAATTAATAACATAGAGAACTATTTTTTATAAAATATAATACAAAAAGATCAAAATAAACAGTAAACTTATCACTAATTATAATATTTAATTTATTTTTATGGAATAAAATGAATAATTAAAAAAATAAAATAATCATTATTTTTTAACCAGAGACAAATTTATATATTTAGAAAAAAATACTGTCGCATTATCAATATTCTCATCAGGATGACAAAATATTTCTTTCTTGTTGTATTTTATTTTATATTTAAATAGCTTACAATCCAGTACAACCGTTTCATATTCCCCTCCTTCACCACAAAAATTTTCATAAAGACAGATATTTGTCTCTAAAATTTTACTAATATCTGTACCTATCCAAGTTTTGTCAAGAAATGATGACGCAATTTTTACAATTTCAGCTTTAATTTCATTCTCAACCATTTCAATTAAAAGCTCTCTTTGATTTCGGCCCCATAAAGGCGTTAAAGAAGAAATATTAAGTCTTTGTGCTACATTGAGAATTCTATTTTTCTGATACATAGAAAGAATAGCACCAGACGATATAGCATCAAAATCTAATTTAGTTTGCACATCTTTTATAGCTTCATATAAGTCTTCTACCTCATCTGTCTCATTAATTTTATACTCTAATTCTGTATTTACCGTTTCACATTTTGTTTCATATAGAAACAACGGCAAGTCCATACATTTACCAAAAAGTTCTACAACTTCTGAACCAACGGTCTGGTACATGTAAGAATCTACATAACTACTTGTATTTTTCATGTATAACAATCCTACAGGAGTGTGTCCTTGTTCTTTAAGAACTTGTATTGTATATATACTATCCTTACCTCCACTTACAAGCGCAATAAATTTCATATCAATATCAAAAAGGGTACATTCAAAATAATATGTTACATTTTAACATAAAATACAGTACATCCCTTTATTAATTTATTAAAAACAAATACTATTTAACAATAATTTTTTAAGTTCTCAAAAGTCTTGTATAAAATTTTGTTTTATAGTAAAACAATGTTTCAAAGTAAAATATAAAAGAAAAAAAAATTATAAACACAATGAAATTTATAAAGTTGTGTACGCTGGCATTGACAAGTGTTTCCGCTCGACAAAATCCGGCTAAAGGGTTTTTTGCATCAACAAAAAATAATCTGATGGTAAGTAGTAATCTTATAGGACAAGAATCCCAGAGTTCATTATTAAAAGCTTCACATGCCACTGAAAAAAAAGACAAAAAAGAAAAAAAGGAAAAATCTAAATTAAAGTTAAAAAATCATCTTAAGGCATTAGGACAGAATAAAAATGAACTCAAAGAAGCCAAGGCGCACACAAATGAAAGTTCTAGTAACTTAAAAAACCAGAACGGTGAAAAGGGCTCTAAACCTAAAAAATCTTCAAACTTAAAATCAAAAAAAAGTTCTTCAATGACTACTAAAAAAGATAAAGATACAAAAAAGTCTGTTGAATCGGACAATCCCGAGGGAGAAGATGAAACTAAAGGTCAGAAAGACGAATCCAAAAAAGGAAAGAGTAAGAAAGGATCTAAAAAAGAGGCGCAATCTAATGTAAGCAAGTCTGATCCCAAACCTAAAGAAGGTAAATCTAAAAAAGATGGCATTACTGAAAGTTCTGAAACAGAAAAAAAACCAGAAGAAGAGAAAAAAGGAAAATTAAAAGAAGAAAACGACAAAAACGGCGATGCTGACACGCAGAAAAAAGAAAAGAGCAAGAATAAACTTAATTTACTTGAATACAACCAAGGCCTTTTGCAATCTAGCGAACTTAAGGATTCAAAGAACTTGAAGATGTCAGAAGAAAGTTCAGCTGAAGATTCCAACGATGAGGAAGAATCCAACGAATAAATAATTAGTATTATATTTTTTTATTTATTTTTTGCCCTATGGAAAAATATAAAAGAATTTCCCAAATAGGAGAAGGCTCTTTTGGTAAAGTTTATAAATCTAGAGACTTAGAAAACAATAAAGATGTGGCAATAAAACGTATTCCTGTAGAAATTGAAAATGGAATACCATTTACAGCCTACAGGGAAATAAAGATTTTAAAAAAATACACTCACACAAATCTTGTTAAGCTTCATGATGCCATGCATGAAGAAGGTTTTATTTTTCTTGTTATGGATTATTTACCATTTGATCTTACTGGTCTTCTTTTATCTAAGTATCAGTTCCAGTACAATCAAATAAGAGGCTTGATCTATCAGCTTTGTCAAGCTACTTCTTATCTTCACAGTAAGAATATTATTCATCGGGATATTAAAGCTTCAAATATTTTAATTGACAGCAGTGGTGTATTAAAACTTACAGATTTTGGATTGGCTAGGGAACAAGGACATTACATGACTAATAGAGTGTGTACTTTATGGTATAGAGCTATTGAGTTACTTCTTGGTGAAATTAAATATACTTGTAAAGTTGATTCTTGGTCTATTGGAATACTTTTTTTAGAAATGAAAATTGGAGATGTTCCATTTAAAGGATCAAATGAAGCTTCTCAGGTCAAAGAAATTGTTAAAGCGTTAGGTATTCCTGATGAGAAATATCAATGGACTGAATTATTTGAGCTTAATAGATTTAAAAGGTCTGAAACATTTACAGATTTATTAAAATTGTTATTTGAAAAAGTATGCGATGAAAGTGAACTTATATTACTTAAAGAGTTGTTGTGTCTTAATTCTAAAGAAAGAATATCTCCAAAGTATGCTCTTAAGTTAAAATATCTAGAAGACCTTACTGAAATATATTTTCCGATAGAAATAAATGAGGTTCATGAGTTTGATATGAAAAATCTTGAAAAAGAATAAGGGGAGACATATATGTATGCTTATAATTAAATATTTATATTGTTTTATAATATATTAATAATAATTTGAATGTTATCAAAGCCAATATTTACAACTTTACTTGTAATAATTTTAACACGCAAAATATTATTTATTTTTTACTGAAGTTCAAATTTTTAATAATCTTTTATTATTTTTTTTTCAATTTTTATGCCCATAAAATGGTAAGTGAAAATTTATAATTTAGATAAAAGACATCGAAATAAGATTACACAAAACTGCAAAATACCAAGCTGAAGATGTACCAAGGTATATTGAAAGATACATGAAAAAAATTGCCAAAAAAAACCAAAGAACTAGAAGGACTGATTTGGAGTGTGGAATGATAGTTGTAGTGTGTGAAGGAATTTATGAGAGTAAAAAGGTTATTTATCTCAAAGGATTAGATAATAATTTGGTTCTTTGTGCTGGGGTTAGAGATATTAATGGTGTTCCTTTTTTTAAAATTGATGAATCTTATTTACTGACTACTTCATCAAAGATTTATATAAATCTTAATGATATCACTATTAAGGAAGATGAGGTACCTCTTGTTACTAAAGATAAATCTTTAGAAGTTATGGATATTGAATACACTCAGAAAATGAGCAATATTGAAAAAACTATTTCTGATGAAGTAAGTAAAGTTGAATATCTTAGAGCGTACCTAAAGGCGCCTTTTGAAATTGATAATTCTGTAGAGTTCTACAGTCAAGATTATTAAATTTTTTACAAAATTTGTTTAGTGAAACTTGCTTTTTTTGGTTTAAAAAGTGTTAAAACACATTTATCTTATTTTATATGTCCGTTACTTAAAGAGTTGTTAACAAAAAAAAATAAGTTTTATTTTATAAAATCTTATCTTTGTATTAATTTGTAAAAAATAATTTGTTAGTACATTTTTTCTGATTTGATATAAAAAAAATAAGTTATAAAAAAGTTAAAGATAGAATAATAATTTTAGGCACATGCTTTTTATCTACTAGAACACATATGTAAAGATCAAAATAAAACTTAAGTAAACTGTTAATTAAAGATTTAACACTTTGTTTAGCTATGTAATAGCAAACATATTTAAAATATTTCTTTTTATATTTATATATCACGCACAAAATTTTCAAAAAAATAATGATTTTTGTTTTTTTAATTTTGCTGCATAATTATACAAATTTATAATGTCTGTATATAGCCTAATGTTACAAAAATTTTAATAAACGTAGTTTAGAATAAAAAGTAATAAATATGAAATAATTAAAAGCATTTTTCTGTCTTTTTCGTTTTCAAGGTAACAATCTAGCCTTAAAAATGTCTTAAATTTCAATACTAAAAAAATTTTTTTATAAACCGTAATTTTTTTGATGAATTTAATAAAATGTGGTAAATTAAGTTTTTAATATATATTTTTTTTATTTAGTTTCGTGTATTTTAATCAAATCAAAACAAACAGCTATTTACTACATTTCTACAAATAAAACAAATAATTAGCAATAATAATAAAAAAAAGCCATAAATTAAATTTTAAGCATTTGTATTCCACGTAATATTAATTATTATAAAAATTATTAATAATTTTTAGTCTACTTAAAGATTCAAACACCTTATAAAAAATTAATTTATCAAAAATAATCTATAAACAATATAAAAAAAAAGTAATTAAGCCCTTATGAATAGCTATAAGTCAAAAGTTTATATTATTTTTGCCTACTGGATTTTTGCAATAGCCGGAATAATAACAGAAATAAATTTAACAAAAGAATTAATGGCTCTATTAACAAATTTATCACCGAATAAGCTATTAGAAGCAGTATGCATTTATCAAATGTTATATACAAAGCTATTATCTTTACTTGAAGTTTCTTATGTAGCCAAACTTTTTTTTAGTCAAGATATTAGTACCTTGGTACAGATTTTTATCGTAAAATTAATTAATATACTAATTTGGCTTATTTTGGGACTACAGTTTAGCATAAATTTTTATTTCTACTTTCATGTTATTATAGCTTTCATTTCCCTCTGCCTTCTATTTTGCATCTCTTATTTTGAGTACAGTTCAATTTATAAAAATTACAATCGTCGCATCAGCTATGATCCTGCATTAATATCAATACATATATTTCTTCAAATTGTTAATGCTATACAAAATGCAACCAAATTCTTTTTAGTGATGCGTATCATAGTTGAAATATATATCAAATATTTTGATACATATTCTATTTATACTTTTTTTAAGTTTTTGACAATTTTTATTGTTGAAACATATGAAAAAAGAGAAGAAAAGATTGCCCATAAGGTTAGAGCATATACTATTTTATATGTGTTTTTTACAATAGGTAGTACTGCATCAATAACAAGTTTAATGTTAAATCATGAAGTGACTCATCACTTTATAAGTTTCAATTTTGAACTACTCACATTGACCAACTTTATTCTTCTTTTGATTTGTTCATTTAAAACAAAGAATGTCTACACATAAAACAAAGAAAAATTATGAAAGTATAAACTTTTTAGATATACTTATTTTTAAAACTTTCAGTTAATTATTACAAAACTTTTTTAATAAAATTTAAATTATTGTGGCGCTTATCTATTGAATTAAATAAAAAAATGTTAAATTACTAATTTAACAAAAATAAAAGAATTTTAGAATTATGGTGGTGCAAAAACGATATTTAAAAATATAAATCTGACAATAAAAAAATCTATAAAAATTTAATTTTTTATTATAAAGATGCTAATATCGCATTTTCCATCTGATTTAGCCAGTATAAATGTATTTCTTTTTTATCGTAAAGCTTTTTAATCTTTTTTTCTAAATTCTTAAGTTTTGTTAGCTTTGATATTTTAGTTCTTAAAATTGTGGTCTCGTATTCTCCAATAAATTTTCTTATAATATTAGGAAGACTAATTTTATAAAATAAAATAATATATTTACGTTTTGCAAATATAACATCTTGAAGCATAGATCTTGATTCACTTTTATTGTTTTTTCGTCTACACTCAATATTGCACATATAAATTAAAACATCCTCAATAAATAGTAAATATTCTGCTACTAGATAGTTAAAGTTTTCTGAAATATTTAATTGTTGGCTTTCTTTGAGAGCATTAGAGATATCATGAAACACAATACTTTTAATAAGTGAAGTACTAACCTTCCATTCTTTTGCAGCAATTGACCATGTAAAGTAATTTTCCTTTTTAAAGTTATAATTTTTATATATTTTAACTGAACAATCACGAATTCTAGGCATCGAACAAAAGTTTAAAACTTTTTGAAATTCTTTTTTCTTTTGTTCTAAATAATTTTGCAATTTTTTATAAATAACAACGTCTTTGTCTTTATTTAAAATTGTATTATAATTTAATTTGAGATTATATTTTATATTCTGTTTTTTATTTAAAACTCTTTGTGATTTTCTAGAATTTTGAAGCCCGGAATTTGTCTGACTGGCTCGTTTTTCGTCAGATACATTATTGTTAAATGTAAATGATGACTGATTTGGCATTTCTTCAGTCGAACATAAATTAAATTTTTGATGATGGACTAAAAAGTCATCAAATAAATTACTGATAAAATCAAAAATACTACTGTCATCATGAATAGATAATAAATCATTGTAACTATCAGATAAATACAAGTTATCCTCATGATTAATATCTTTTGGGTCATCAAAAGAATAAACATCGCGAGAATGACATTCAATTTCATCAATAAAATTATACAATGATAATAATTCAAAATTATCTTCTTCACGTTCTGTCATAGGTTCAATTTTTGGTAGAGTAGTTTTTGTGGACCATTTACATTCCAAATTTGAACTACCCGAAAAGCATGTGTCGTTGTATTTTTTCTTTTCAATTATAGCATCTTCATCTTTTGGAAATTTTTCATCTAAATTAAAAAAGGAATCTTTACATTCATTAGTTTGTAGTAACATATTTGTAGTTTGGGAACACATTATAAAGTTTACAAACAGTATCATAAGGGCTAATATCCTTTTTTTGTTATAGTACATAATTAAAATTTTTAGTAAATATTTAACAAGCTAAATAAATACTAAAAATTTGATTTTAAAATTAAATACTTAACAATTTTTTAAAAGCAAATTGAGTGTGTATTTTAAGACTGCCACTGTATAGCAAAAACTAGTGGTTTTGGCATGTCGTTTGAGTTTTAATTAAAAACGAGTTATTTAAAAGATATCAAAGTAAGTATAAAAAACACAAAACAAGAAATTAAGAACGCTTTAAAAGATTCATAACCAATAACTGATATTTTTTTCAAAATAGTAAATTATATGCCAAAAATCTTTTGCATATTAAAAGAAAATTATTTAAACAGAAAAACCTTTAAAGCAAAAAAACAATGATAGATGTATCAATAATACTTTTATTTAATTTGTTTTCTTCCTGTATGAGTAGGAAAATTATCAAAAATTTTTAAAATGAAATAGTATTGTTATTAGACAAGATGTTTTACTTGAAATTGACTTAGTGCAGGCAGAAGCTAGCTTTCTAAAGCTTTAATCGTAAATTATAAAATTTTGTATTTATAATCTTAAAATGATTTAGTATTGAAAGATGTTAAATTTCAAACAATTTTTAAAAATGACCCATATTTTAGCTAAGTTAGATAAAACATAAATTTTATAATTAAATCAATGCTTGTAAAATCAAATATTTTTAATTTTAAAAGATGTCAAAAAAATCTTGCTTTTTAATTTATTAAATTTTATGCAAAATTTTAAAACAAAATGAGAAAAGAATGATGTAAAATTATCGCCCAGAACTCAAATTTCTACAAAAAAGAATATATTACATAAAACGAGCGTAATAATTTACTTTTCCGCTGTCACACCACTATGTTATTTTATTTGCTAATAATTACAACTTTTAGATAACAAAAAAGGCGTTTTATTTAAAAATAGTATTTGTTGAATTATATTGTTATCTCTCTCATATTTGATTATTGATTTTTTGGAAACGTTCTTGTCATATACAATTATAATTGTTTCTTTTGCAGATATGATAAAATCTTAACTTGCTAATCTCAGTTTTCAGTATACTAAAAACAATTAATCACAAATTGTAAAAAGTTTAAAAATCAACAATTTAAATTTCAAATTTTAAGAAACTTTTAACATTAATATGCTTAAAATTCTTTAAAAGGTTAATGCAAAATTAATCACAAATTGTAAAAAGTTTAAAAGTCAACAATTTTAATTTCAAATTTTAAGAAACTTTTAACATTAATATGCTTAAAATCCTTTAAAAGGTTAATGCAAAATTGTTTTTCATTTTAAGTTTTACCCTTAATGTATGTATCATCCTTTTTTGTACTTTCTGTTGGAAAAAATCTGAAAGAAATTTTATTAAAAATAAATAATAAAGAGAAAAGAATTATACCTTCATTGTACAAATTTATATCAATACAAGAAGAAAATAACTCTGAGATTTTTATTAATGGAAACAGGATATGAAGTCTATAATAAATCTTGAAGATGTTACTATTGCTACATTTAGAGGCGAGGCGAATCATTTTGATTTTACTGACGAAACAGTTTTAAATATTATTGGACATAGAGGAGTTGGTCAAAATACTAGTCATGTACTGGAGAATACGGTAGAATCTTTTAATATGGCCTTTGATAAAGTAGAATGGGTAGAACTAGATGTGCAGCTTATTCAGAACAGTGTACCAATAGTACACCATGATACTTTGTTTTTTAATAAAGAAGAATACTGTTATTTTAGCGAGAATAAAGATAAGATATATAAAGAGAATGATAAATTATTGCCTCAGACATTAGATTATGTACTGAAAAATATAATCAAAGGTGGAAAAATAAATCTCGAGATAAAGTATCCGCTTTTTCAAGATTCGCTATACTTGAACCTATTAAACACCAAAGAAGACGGAGATAGCCCTCTTTTAAAATATTTTAATGCTGCCCTGCAATACGATAAACAAAAATATTATTTAGATTACGATGTTCCTACATTAATAGATTCAATACTTAATGTGATATATCTTAATAATTTTAGAAATATTATTTTCTCATCTTTTTCACCTTCGGTGTTGTTAAATCTTAAGACAAGAGTTCCACAAGCAAGAATTTTATTATTAATTGATGTATATCTGGAAGAATTGGTAGATTTTTGTTTAAAAGTAGATCTATCGGGAATAGTATTTAAGTTTGATTGCTTAAACGAAGAAAAAATTCGAAAATTAACGAAAGTAATTGATGTATATGTCTATAATGTTAAGACTAGACACGATTATGATTTTTGTATGAAAATGGGAATTAAAGGGGTCATAACAGATTATATTAATGATCTTTTAAGCGAGAATGATGCATAAAACTTTGTTTGAATAATATTTAGATATGTTTAATAATAAATATACGTACTCATTTTTTTAGGAATATTGAATGTTTCCATTTTTGTGAATAAAGTGCAAATTAATTTAAAATTTAAATAAAAAGCTGTTACATTTAATATTGTTTATTTTAAACTTTTATATGTTCTTGTATGTGTCAATTAAAAAGTTCAGATGACATTTTACTTTAAAAGATGTAAACACTTATTGTATAATATTTAGCATTTTGTTTCTTTTGATATGTACAAAATAAATTTTATTTTGTTTGTCCTACTCTTAAAAGTTCAATTTATTTCAAAAATTTGTATTTAAATAACGTTATTGCCAGTATTATTAAGTTGACTACACTTAATTATATTAATTGTAAATTTAAAAATTCTTTTTTAAATATATTAAGTATTAAATTTTAATTCAAAAATCATCAGCCAAAAAAAATTTTATGCTAAACAAAAAAGTAGTAATTAAAAAAATTTATTAAACCTTGATAAACGGTCATTTATAAATATTAAAGTCACAAACAAGCACTAAATTTGTAAGTTTAGTTTACAAAACTGTATGATAAAAGACTAATATAAAAATTAAAAAACAGCCTGCCAGAAAGTGCGATTTTTAAAATTAAAAAAGTTAAAAGTAAGTTAAATTTCTAAGCATATACTACATATTCATAGTTTAAATTATTGAGATCAGCACATATTAGGAAGGACAAATTATATTTTTATGATGTTAAAAGAATGTTTGGATTTTTCTATTGGTGTCGAAACATTTACCATAAATAGAACATCTTTAAAAAAACAATTTTTGTATAAAACAACATTTAGGAAAAAAATAACATTTGTAGTTAGTGTAGGAATAAGGATGTGTTTATAGTGTTCTATCAAATATATCGGATTTTATATATTTGGCAAAAACAGTTTTAAATAATTTTAATAAATAAATCCTTGTTTTTATTCAACAATATAACATAAACTTGTGAAATTTATGCATTTAAAAAACATAAAATTGAAATTTGTGGTAAAAAATTACCATAATATTTTTAGACAATAAAGCTTCTTAGTATTATGCATTTGTTTTAGCTATATAATTCTTATTTAAACTTTTTCTAAGTTTTTTTAATTTCTTTACATATATTTAAATCAAACTCGATTTATACTTTTTATCATACCTTATTTATAAACTCGTATATTTTATTAGGTCAATCTTCTGCATTTTTCTATGAAAATTTGTTTTTCAGGGTTAGGTTTTTTTTTTATATTTTTGTTTCTGTAGCATAAAAAGGTAAATGTTATTAGCGAATATATTACTCTTGTATTTAATTATTTTTATGTCTTCTTTTCTTCGGTAATCCAATAAAATTTTTTCGAGAGATCTTTTACAAATTACCAAATCTATACATGCTGTTATTTTGTCTGTAACTTTTTTCTTCTTTCTTTATTTGTCTCAGTACATTGTGGTTATACCAGTTAATTTCTAAAATTAATTAAAGAAGCAATATTTTTATGATTAAATAACTTTTTAAATAATTATATAAAAAATTAATAAAATTTCTTACTGTGAAAATTTTATTCTGCCAAATGTCTTAAGGTTTACGATTTAAAGTTTAATTTTTTTATAAAAACTAATACCTCTAAAAAAATTATTTTATACAAGTTTTTATTTTTAACTTTATAATCGATATTAAAGCATACTACAAATGCTCAAATTTTAATATTTACAGAATCTACTATTAATAAGGCATAGACAAACTTTTAATTTTCTTATAAGTCTTTTAAGTAAGTAAACTATTATTTTCAAAATATGATTGACTTTAATGAAACAAAAAGTCACTTATACGACTCCATAAAAATTTTATCCTAATGCAGCAATTTTTCAATATTAAAATTATTCTAAAAAATCTACGAAAAAAAAGTCTTTATTGAGTTTATCAACTCAAATATGCCTACTAATTTCGGAATTCTTTTATTTAAATAAATGCAAAACATGCTGTATGCCAAAATTTTTGTTAACAATGCAGTTTGTATAGAGTTAGTACTATAATTTAAGAACGAAAGTAAAACTTTGTCTAATGTAAATAATACATTAAGTTATATAATGTATAACATTTCTCTACTATAAACAATTGAATATCTTCAAAAGTTTAATATTATTTGTAACTTTCATATTCATACTGAAAATTTTTTACCAATAGCTGTTATCGTTAAAAATGACCCAATAAAAGATCTAAAAACAAAATGAGTAAAGTGTTTTAATGTTGATCCAATATCTCTGTAAAGTGCAATGTACAGCTTCAAATCGCCTAATATTTGTAAAATCTTAAAACATAAATTTATCAACGATTTTTTTCAAAGTTAACAATTTACTTTCATTTAAGTAAGTATACTGTCCTGTTGTAAAATGTGTTTGGGTAAATTGTTTTTATTTATAATGTGGATTTGGTGTGTGTAGTAATTAAATCTTAATGTGTTATTTTATTTTTAAAGTTAAATCAAGAGATTTGTTGATAGCCTAAATTTACTAAGCTAACAAATGAAATGAGAAAAGGTAAAGCTAATAATTAATGAAACGATACTAGAGCTACTCTACTTAGTATACTGTTTACTAAAATGTGTAATGCCAAATAAACAAACAACATTTGCTGAAAAGTCATATATTAGACTTTATCATAATACATACATACTATAACATTATTACCTGATGGGTGATTATGTTTATCGATCATCGCCATAAATCAAAGATATTAGCGTAGCCTAACGATGTCTGTCTTACCCTTGCCGTCTGCAATATATCAAATACAAAAGCGAATTTATGCTTTTGCGCTCTTTAAATTCAAAATCATAAACTATTATCTTAATTAAACTTGTCTTAATAGTTTACTTACTTAAAATTAATAAACAAAAATGAAGTTTTTTGTACAATGTCGTAAAGCCACTCGCTTCATGTTTGACATATTTAGATGAAATTGCGGTTATTAATAGTTTATTGGTAAGGTTTCTAAAGACGACAACGTATAGATCATAATACTAAAAGACTATTACGAAGAATTTATTTAACAATCTATCCTGTTCTGTTCTGTACTGAATGAATATTTAAGTTTTAAAAAAGTAATTTATACTATATTGCTATGGTGGATTCTTTTATCTTTCTAAATTCGCTTTACAATAAAATTCTACTATTTATTTTTATCATAAACTCTATTTTTATAATTTATTTTTTATTTTTTGTAAAAATTTAATTAAAATTTAGCTAATGACAAAAGTATTGTGGACTTAAAATGAAGTCTTTACATGTCTTTTTGTAAATTTTAAAAAATACAAATTGGGTGTTGAATATGCTGTTTATATTATTTGTAAAAGTTGTATGATTTTATTTCATAAAAACATTGTTAGTAGAATAAGTATGTTAAAGTTTTTGAAACATTTCTAGTTTTTTTATAAATTATGCTAAATAAACGCATTTTTTCATAAAAACTATTTTTCTATTAATTCAAAAAATATACTTAAATTTGATATTAAAGAAAAGTTTCCATATGTAAATACAGTTCTTAAGATTTTAATTTATTTTCTTATTGAAAGTAAACTAAAAACTTTCCTTTTTTTTCTCTCACGATGCTTGTTTATTGCAGCGATGAAAATTGTTGTAATATAATTGAAATTAAATAGAAGAAAGATGATTGAATAAGATCTTTTCTACAGTAGATTTTATAAAAAATTCCTTTTACCAATTAATTTTAATAATTTGGGTAAAGATGCTGCTAAAAGCGCGAATATGATCAAAGATAAATAACAATTTATAGGAAGCTGCCAGTATGAGAAAAAACTAGCAGATTTTAATAAAGAGTTTTTTTAGTTAATAAACAAAAATAAATTTAGTTTAAACAAAATACTAACTACTATACTAGTTTTTAGAGATTTCGATAGTATAAAAATGGATTTAAACAATAAGAATCTATTTTATAATATTTATCAGGAACAGTAAGATAATAAGATGATAGACGATTTAAATTTTCTGCCTTATAGGTCGTTGTAGCTAAGTTTACTCTTTTTTGCAAAACTCTCTCTTATTACTAAGTTGACAAAACAAACGGTTTACCAATTTTAAGAACTATAATTTGGATGAAAATAAGGGCTAAGAAATAGTTTATGATAAAGTACATTATTTTGCGGGAAAGAACTTTACCCCAGATTTTGATCTATCCTGCGAAATTTATAAAAATCATCTGTTTACAAGTTTTGAAAATGTTTATACAGCATTTACAGGAGCTATTGATTATACTCTATATAATTATAAATATAGATTTAAAAAACAACTCAAGATTGTACAAGAGGGGCCTGATGTTAATAAAGACTATAGGAAATTTTATTTAGCATATATGAAAGGAGATTTTAACAGAGTATTTAGAATTTATTGTATTTCGACAGATGCAATTAGATTTTCCAACAATCTATTAATATATTATTTTTTTTTAAAATACATAAAAGAAAAAATAAAGATTTATGAATGAGAATTTAATAAGCGTACTATTGAACGAGCTAAAAAAGCAAATCTCAGATATGGTACTCTCATTTTAGAAAGAAAAGAATAATTGTTTTAATAATATGCGAATTTACATTATTTTACTCAGTACTTATCTTAATATGCTATCAAGTTGACGTATCAAAGAGATTGAAATAAGATTTTCAGTTTTAATAAGTTTTTCAAAGATGCTTTTGATGCCTTTGAGCAACTTAAGGATGATAATTTTGTATGTCTTAAAAGTGTTGTCAATGTCAGATCTTTCAATGAAATTACGACGGCATTTAATTATGATTCTAATCAAGAATTACCTCTCTACGGAGATAAAAAAAAATTTTCAAATACAAAAGAAGATAATATTGTATATCTAAACGCTCTTTAAAAGTACGATTAAGGCAAAATGCATATACGTTCTTTTCAAAATTATTTTTGTGCAACAGTAATTTCTTTAAATCGAGATTTTGATTCTATAAAGAATTTGTTAATATAAGCGATCGGCATGATTCTGAAATAAAAAGTTTTTTTTAGACGTTTATAAAACATCGCCTATGTACTATAACTTTATTGAAAAGTTTGTTAAATATCAAAGAAATGGATTTGTCAGGATAAAAAAATGATAATTTTTTTTTTTTCAAATTTTAAAAGTATATTATCAAAAAAAGACATGTAAAATGGTCTCAATCAGATTTAGCTTTCGTGGCGTTTTCAAAATTAGTGTTTTTTATTAAAAACTTATAAAAGTAGAGTCTCCGCCAAAAAGAAAGCAAAAAATAATCATAAAATAAATTTAAATAGTTAATTAAAACTTTTTTTGATTTTTGGTTTAATCAGAATTTTGTTCACTGTAAGCATTATTTTAAATAAATAACATAAGTTTTGCACTTATATGTTTGCGTTTATATCTATACAGAAGCAAAATATAATTACCAAACTCAGAATAAAGAAAATATGATATGAATTTTTTTTAGACACAAATACAAAATTAAAAAAAACCTTTGTAAACAATAGAAAAAAATTTGTATTTGTCTTTACAGTAACAAAAACCAATTTCATTTTTCACTACGCTAAACCAAGTTTATTTTTACCATTTTTTGTTATATATGCAAAGACTTTTATAAATTTTTAGAACCAAAGTTATGTCACCGTTTATATATATTTTTAATATAATTCGAAAATTTTAATTTTTTTTTGTAAAGTCACACAACACCATTAAAGTTAAAATCAAAATAATAAAGCTCCTTCTTATTGGTATAAAAAATTTAAGATAGAATTTTTTTTAGTAGTTTCTACACTAATTAATATGTTTACATTAATCCTTATATTTTTATATATTTATTAATTAATGGCCAAAATAAAATTGTGAGATGTTAAATTTGCAAAATATTATACAATTTTATGAAAATATAAAATTATTAACGGCTAAACCTAGACTTTAAACGTATTAATCTAGTAACAAAACATTAGACAAAATTGTGTAATAAATTTTTAATAAAGATAATTAGAATAATAAATTGTTAAAAAAATTAGAAGGTTGGTAATCTTTTAAAGTACTACTTTATAAACAAAAATCCTTAATATTACAAGCAAAAAATGTTAAATATAACCTTAACGGATAAATTTTGTTATGCCTAACTCAATTAAAATATATCGCTTTAATTTATGGTTTTAGATAAATAATTAATTTTAATATGTCATAGAAAGTACATGCAAGTGACATATTCTAGTAGTTTTAACTTTGTTTTGTCAATAGATTAACTTAAAAGAAAGTATATTGCCTTAAACTATTCTAATTGTGCGTAAATTAATTATTTAGGCATCTGGGCTTACAATAAAGATGAAAATATGTTAGTAATTAAATAAATTTAAAAAAAAATTTAAATATTGCTTACATCTAATTTTAAAGAAATAAATGATAAATTTTCTTGCGATAAAAAACTTGATTTAAAAATCAAATGACGAATTTTTTATTATTAAATTCTATAAAATACAAAAAATGCATTTTTCAGCAAATCTACGGAAAAAAATAAGAATACAAATATTAATATTCTTATATATAAAATATTTTTGCTTTGTGTAATGAACCAACTACATCATGTAGATTGTTTGTTTAATCATTACAGTGTGTTTGTCCAAACAAACCATTATGACAATTCTATTTTACTTCCCTTTGTTGACACGTTCTAGTACTTTTTGTCTTTCTTTTATTTGATTCACTTTTTTGTTAATCAATTATAAAAACTATAAAAAAATTGATTCTTGAAGGGTATCGAGAATGAAAACTAATAAACAGATTAACAAATCTATATATCGCATTATTTTTATTTTGCAAAACACGACACTTGACACGATCTTTTTTAAAATTAATAAAAATTTAATAAATTTATCAACAGGCTGTTTAATTTTTCCCCGAGGATGTGTTACACAAAAAATATTTTTAAAAATGTAGTTTTTAATTTTCTTTTTTTTCAGTTAAATTAACAACAAAATGGAATGTAAACGCAATCTTCTTTAAATATGTAATTTCATTCATATTATGAATGTTTATAATTTATTTAAAACTATTTTCGTGTTTTTTATTTAAAGAATAAGACGATATAGATTTATTGTATCATCTATTGGTTTTTATTTTCGATCCCCTTCAAGCAGCAATTCTTTTATATAGTTTTTATATTTGATTAAATAAACAAGTGAATGAAATAAAAGAAAAACAAAAAGTACTAGAACGTGTCAACAAAAGGAAGTAAAATAAAATTGTTACAATGGTTTTGTGATCAGGTCGTTTATACGATCTGAAGCGGAAGAAGGTGTTAAAAGAAATGATTTTTATATAATTTTTGTTTTTCTAAACTCATGATACCCCTTTTGGGAACACTTTTCTTAAATAGCTTTAAAATTTACTTTTGATAGCTGTCAAATAAGATTAATATTTTTATCAGTTGATTTCGGCACTATTTAGGTGGCCTGAAATCTTTACTGTTTGTTTGCTTTTATTTAATTTATTCTTTTAGACGTTCGACAGACCATTCTGATCGAGGGATTCTAATTTTCAGTAATAGTTCATCTACTTACAGGTTTGTCTGAATAAACACACTGTAATGATCGAACAAACAATTTAAATAATATAGCTGGTTCATTACAATCATTTTTATCATTTTGCTTTTTAAAGTAATTTTTATATAATATATTTAGCATTTTTAAAAACTACTTAAATTTTCCTTTAGCAATTCTTCTGCAAATAAACTTAAATATTGATAAGCTCTTATAAAGAAATTGTTTGGACTACGATGAAAACCTTAGAAAGTATTTGTAGTTTTAGGTATTCAATTTAATTTCTGCGATGCAACATTCTAAAGGCAATATATTCTGTTTATTTTGTTAAATAAATATTTTTTCTTAATTTATTGCACTTTCGATTTTATTTTGGATGTTATGGTGACCGGTAGAAAGACTGTTTAAATAGAAGTTATTAGAGTGCATATTTATTTTTAATTATTTTAAAATACTTGTTTACTGAAATTGTTTTGGGTTGAAACGTTTAAAAGTGAGACAGACGTAATAGTATGTCAAAATGATAATAGGCTACCAAAGATGTATTTTTTTAAAATATGATAATAATGACAAACAAATATGGCAGGACAAACGCTAGCGATATTTAAATCTTATATTCAGATTAAACTTTTTATCTTTTAGGTATAATTCAAAAAAGCCCTCATGCTAAAAATTTCGCCAGATAATTTGAGAAAAATAAAAATAAGCATCCATTAATTTTTACTTGGCTAAAAAATAATTTAAAAGCATTTTTAGATGCAGATTCGAAGTCTAAAATAGTAAGACTTGGATCAACTATTGCAGCTTTACTTTTCAAAAAATTACAAATAATCAAATAACTTTGTTTGGTTTTTCTTTTCATTAACACAAATATTAAAGGGTCATACTGAATACTAATATCATTTCAGAGTATAAAACTATTTATATCCCGTTGGTGCATACTTAAAAGTATTATCACCAATTACGATTTTAGAATTACCTAGATGAATCAGATTTTCATCCGTGGCGAAAATTAACGCGCTTTCCCGATCTTTTACATCAGAGTTTATCTGCAAAAACATTTCATCTCTAGTAGTATTTTTGACATACTGTGGAATATCCGAAACCACAGCATTTCCAACTTTTTTGTTTTTTGTCCGTGCTCTTTGTATAAAATCAGCAATTGAACAGAATTTTGGCAATCAGACTAGTTCTTCTTGGTCATGATTTTTAACAGTGCCATAAATTATATCACAAGCCCTTTCATTTACGTAAATAGCTCTACTTAAAATGCTAATTTTATCAAATCCTGCTTTTTTTACAAAACTAGGTTTTGGCTATGATTACTATATTTTAAAACATTACTATTACACGAAATATGAAACCTTAAACACATCTTTATCTGTACATCTAAAAACGGCTTTCGTGATATGGTTGTAGGCTAAGTAATATGAAAATTCTTGAAAAAGTATTTTTTTCTGTTTTTTTTTGGAATTTTATTATTTAAATTATTTATGTGGTATTATTATTTTGATAAATCTTTATAAGTTATTAAAAATATTAGAAATATTTATTTATATTAATTTTTTATAAAATAATTAATATTTTTCTTTTATGCCCAAAAATAACTCCTGATATATTATTTTTATAAATTTTATCGATGCTTTGTCATTTGTTTCTATTTAATTGTAGTTCAGTATAGTTTTAAGTTTTTAATTAGTAAAAGACTAATTGTTAATGTTATTTTTAATATTTGTATCATTAAAAGTTTAACATTTTTTAAATTTGTAAATACATAATTAAATCATTTAAAAATATTCGATCCCAGCAAAAAAGTTAATGAAACATCGAAATCCATCTGTGGTTTACCATCGTCATGTAACGTCCAAAGGAAATACTTTACAAAAAAACAATTAATAGAAACTGATTTTAAAAAGCTTTAAAGGCGTAGAAAGTTGTATTTTTGCGGAGTTATAAGTCTTTGGAAAACTTTCTTGTATAATGCTAGAAATAAATAATTACCTTTTAATATGTATAAAACTTTAGGCTTTAACAAAAAGCATTATTTAAATATTTATGAAACTATTGCAATGTTGTATCACAAGTTCATGCTTATTTTGTCTAAACTATCAAAGGTGTAGTTTGTTTGTTAAAATTTACGAATTATTATAATAATTTGTCAATACGATATTACTAAGAGCCTATGAGATATTTCTGTATCTAACTATTCCTAAAAATTTCAATAATTGTTTAAAAGGTCATAAATTGAAATTAATTTTCTAGAGTATCACTCTTAACCTCTAGCATTTGTAATAATAGAGAGACGTAATAACGCCTTAATAATAAAAACAATAAGATCTTTTATACTTAATGTAACAAATAAATAGTGATTTTTGTAAACTTATATGCTACAGGACAAATGTATGAAGATTATTGCTAAAATTAAACTGCTATATTTTACTTTTACAATTTTATTACAGGCTAAATTTTACTTTAATTCTTTAATTTATTTAAACGAGCATAGAATTTTTAATTATCGTAGTCATGCTTTAGCTACTGTATTACCATCAAAGTATTTTTGTTCTTGAAATTTAAATTTCTTAGATTTTTAAATTAAAATTCAAGTTTAAGAAAAATTATTTTTCATAGAAACAAATTTTAATCATTGATCTTAAAGTAGTTAAAAGTTGTTAGAATTTATATAATTATGTAAAATCGTTTAGTAATCATTTTTTATAAAATAAAACAGCTTAAATTTCTGTAAATACGCAAAAACTAAATTTAATTAAACAAATAAAATAAATAACAAAAAATTTGCAAAAAATATTTTTATTTATTTTAAAGTACATTACAATTACATCTGAAGTTATTAATGGTTAATTAATTATAACACGCCATTGTGGATAATTATTTTTAAAAGGTAAGTTTTTTTTTTGATGGTGCAAGTACAGAACTTTTTTTAAAAAAATTTAATTTCATTTCGATATTTTATTTAGAGATGTGTGCAATTTTTAATTAAAGAAAATTTTCAAAAATTTAGAATAATAATTTTATACTCATTATAAATATAAACCAGACATGTTTTAAAAAAACAAATGTTTATATATTATGTGATACAATAATTATTACTTTTATCCAAAAAATAAAAATAAAATTTGACCCATAAAAATGTTCTTTTGTGTTTTATTGATTAGTACAACTAATATCTCCGATTCTAATATAAATTACACAAATAACCAATTTTATAGTAACTTATATAACGTTGTTAGCACAGCAGAGAATATACAACAAAATACAATATTTGAAAACTTATTACGCAATGACAAAATGCAAACAGAAGATGGGGCAGATTTTGGTCGTGATAAAAGTATTAATAAAATAAATTTAGATAGTGACCTTACATATGATCAATATGCTTATGAAACAGAAAATTTAGCTTTAACGTTAAACAAAGATAGTGAAGAACCATTTCAACATACGAAAAGCACTAATTCTCTCAACCAGGATTATTCAATATTGGACATAAGTGCATATACCCCTCAGTATTGGAATGATGTTTTTAGTGATACAGATGTTTCTCATACCAACAAAGTTGAAAGAACTTTGCCTTTTACAAACAATAATCATATTCCTGCACAAACTAACATGTATTCTGATGCATGTTTGCTTATACAAATCGAAAGTATTCCAGTTACTCAAGAAAATGAATCTCTGGCTGAACTACTAAAAGCCTGTTGTACTGATTACTACACAGAATTTAATAATCAAAATATTGACGACCCGGATTTTGAAAATGAATGGTATAAAAAGATTTGCAGTTATATTAATTGGGAGCCAAGTGAATATGATAATAAAAAAAATTTTTTTCAAGAGTTTAATTTTGAAGATGATAATAATAATTTGGTAGATCCTAGTTTTAAACATTGTGGTCATGATAAACATACAGATGTACAAAAAAAAGAAATTAACGAATATAGTAATATTAGTAATACAAAATCTTTAAATAACGACGAATTGGTTGTAAATAATACAAAAGAGCATGAAAAAGGAAATGCAGATTGCATTATTAATTATAATTCCTTTAAAAGCTTTTTATCTGATGATTCAAATATTGAGATTTTTGATATTTTGATTGAAAATAAAAAAGAGTTACAAGCACTTAAAGATAAGTTTTTTTTTAATGTAAGAAAACAATCATCTATTGGTCTAATTCAATATAATTTTACGAAAAATAATAAATATCGTAACAATAGTAACCGCATAATATTAAATTCTAACTGGTTTAATGATTTTACAAATGTGACTTTTAAACTTCTTATGGATGACATTGAAACTCTTTATTTGTCAGAAAATACTAAAAAACTGTTTTGTGAATGGGTTGAATTTCTAAGAGAAGTTGCTCAGTTTATTTTTAACTTCAAAGAACACGTTAATCTAAAAAAATACAGTCAGTGTGATGTACTCAGTAACCTAACATTAATTGAAACCATAATGAATTCAATAATTTTAAAATTTAACTTTGAAAAGATTAAAAATTTTTTGGAGAAAATTATCCAAAAACACAAAAATCCCAAGTTTTTTGATTTGAAGGTTGAAAAGGTTTTATTAAAGATTTTGTACAACATTAAAGAGGTGGAAGAAAAATTTAAACAATATCGTTTGTATTTTGCAAGAATGAAAATGTATTTTGAAGGTAGAATTAATTAATATTTTTTTGTCTTAATTTTGCAGATTAGTTCAAAGACCATTTTTGATGTATTAAATTGATCTAAAAAAATATTAAAAATAAAATATTTGTTTGTTTACGAACAGGAATATTTAAAACGCTTATTTTATCTCAGTAACTATTTAAATTGATTATGTATTAACATTATGTTTTAAAAGTACTTAAAAATAATTTCGTTTGTTTTTCGTATATCTAATGTTTTGCAATTATTAATAAGTGTGGGTATCTGTCAAGATTTTATTCAAAATAGAAATAAATTTAAACAAATAAAAGAATACAATAAGTTCAACTACATTTATTTATGTCGTTTACGCACGTTGTAATACAAATAGAACTCTAAGTTTAAAATATAATATTTGTATACAAAGATTATATAAACAAACTAATTTTTAATGTTGGCAAAAGCTAGCTATATCATGGTAGTTTCACAGTTATTATTAAGCAATGATATTTTAAAATATGTAATTTAAAGATTTTTAAATTTTAGAATTTGTTGTTTTTAAAATATTTAAGTGGAATAATTTATTTGCACAACTATTTATGTTTAAATTATTTAGTTATCACTATATACCATACACATAGCCCATAAAATTTCTTTAAACTATCTTTTTTTTTGATACTGCTTTTTAAGTAATTTTTTATTTAAATTAGCGCAGAAAGATATTACAAATCATCTTTAGTATTAATTACTAATGAAATTCAAATTGCAAATTAAGAACAATTTTATGTATACTTTGTAGATAATTATAATATTTTATTATGTGATATATAATAAGTAAATATTTTGTTTAGCAAAATTAAATAATGTAAATATTTTAGCCATAACACACTTAAAATTAAAATCTTTGCATAATTATTAAAGTAAAAAAACTGTGTGTTTTTAATCGTAAAAATGATCATGAAATGTTAAGAAATATCAAATTGTGCCTTTTCGATTTCACAAAAGGTATTATATTACACTATTATTTTACCATATGTCAATAAATACACCTAAAGCTTTATTAGTCATAACGTGAGAAAGTGCAGCGAATTGTATTGCCTACATATACAAAACACAAAAAATGATTTTCTAACTAACAAGTTAAAATCGATTTTTGTAGCTAAAATAGTTATTTTGTGAACAATTAATCTTTCTACATTTTATTTTACAAAAAAAATAAAAGAACTGTAATTAACGAGTTTTTTGATTAGTTTTCACACAAAAGATTATTTTTATCTATTAATGTTACTGGAAGTTGTTTATTCTATTAGAGTTTTAAAATTTATATTTGGTTGAAAAATATTTTTTAAAATTTTTAGAGTTTGTACTTATTTGCAAAAATATTTTATTTATATCTTAATAAATTATACAGTTTAACAAAAACTAAATTTTTTAATAATGTAAATTTTATTTTTTAAAATTCTATTATAAAAAATCTATATTTATAGATAAGATGCAAAAATAACAACTTTGTGCATCAAAGTTTTGTTAGACTCTCATTTTTAAAATTGCACACTACTCAATATTACAAATCTTAAATTGTTTACTTGCAGATAACGATGTTTTTAAAAATACTGTAGAGCTTATAAAAAATTTAATTTTTCTGTTAATTAGGTTTATTACAAATAATTTGGTTAAATACGTTAAATATGAATTATTTTAATTAAACCCTTATGTTAATTTTTGGTTCTTTCGTAGTAACAAAACTCTATTAGAACTATTTTTACACAAGATAATATAGAAAAGATGCAATTTTTTAATTACATATGAGGCATTTAGAGGGTAGTACCCCCCTTTTATAATAAAGTTTAAAAGTGTTCTATATATAAACTCATTAGCCCTTGAACTATAAGAATAATGTAATTTATTGGTTCTGTTATATTCATTGTTCCATTTCAAATTTTTTACTTATATATATACTCACCTTTTGTTTGTGGGGGTTAAATATTTATATAAAAAAACTTCAAAAATTTTTGTTTTTTCAGAAACCACTTTGTAAAAATAAAAATTTTTACATGTGGTTACACCACCACAACATATATAAAAAAAGTTATAAATTTTTTTTTTATTAGATAAAAAAATTTGGAAACAGACTATGGTTACCAAAAACAATCGTTTCGAACCTTTTAGAAAACTGATGAAGCCATGTTGAAAATAGTTTTCTAAAATGTTAATTCTAACTAGATTTAGATTTTAGTTTTCGCACGCCAGTTAGTTTTTTGGTCGAGGTTTTGTTTATTACAGTTTCCTGGTGTTTGTTTTTTGAATTCTTTCATTGTTTTATTATTTTGGTTTCTTAAATCATTATTCTCAAATTTTGTTTATTTTAACCAATAGCTGTAATGGGGTATCAATCTGAAGCATAAGTGATACCACAAAAACACTTAAGGAATGAAATTTGCAATGTTAAAAATAGGAAAAAATATAATCTTAATTTATTATTATAGTTATTGATTTATTTAAATCCCAAGTTGCGATTGTTCATTAATAAATTTTAAAATTATTTTTTTATAACATACATCTTATTTGAAAAAAATTAATTTTTTTCCTTAATTCTGTGCAGAATAAATGCTTTTACAGAAAACAAAGATTTCTTTAATATTATTGTTGTATGATGGAAAATATAAATAAAATTTTTTATGGCCCCTATTCTTAAATTTTTATAGTGTTAGGATATAAGAATGGAGTTAGAAAAAAAAGATATTTTGAGAGATCTGCAAAGGGCATTCTTAATTTTTGTTTTAAATAATTGTTTATTAAGACAAGGTTGATGGTTATTTTATTACTAAAGCCAATAATATAATAGTAAGATGGCATTGTAAGCGAATAAAGAAAAAAAAGTATTCTCTTACATTTAAATGTTGAAAGATTTAGCAATAAAAGAATTTAATTGCAGAAATAAATATTACAAGATGTATTGTTTAAACAAAGGGATCTAAAACATGTCACTAAATTTTAATAACATATGAAAAAATGTTTTTTGGCAAGCAGTGAAAGTCTGATCTAGGAAAAATATTAAAAAATAGAATTTTGTTTAATTTTATTAAAATACGACTATTTTTGCCAAGACACTAAAAATTCAAATATTTTTATTAAACATTGTAGATATAGAAAAAAGGTTAAAAATATGAAGCTACAAAAAACACGGATCTTAGCTAAGGAGAATAAATAACATGTTTGCTGTCATTGGAATAGCCATCGGCACATTGTTAAAACTGTTTATAAAAAGAAGGCAGTTGAGATTTAAGAAGATTTATGCAATTTAAACGAGGATGATTAAGTCATACAAGAGTATTAATAATAAAGGCAAAGTTTATTTATATTTAAGGTTTTTATTTTACATAATGTTTGATTTAGTTGCATACTATAGTTTTATAAGCAATAAAGCAACCACTGCTGAGCTTTAATTGAAAATTTATAGTAGTAAAAAGAATTGAAACTTTTTAAATGTTCAGAAGAAGAACTTTTCATTATTTAATATCTGTTTAGAATATTTTTATGAAATGACATTTAAATCTA